TGCTGCGTTGGCCTCGATACGTTTTACTCTCCATGCACGCTGAGTAGAACAAGAATCCCAGCTGGGGATCGGAGCATGCACGGGCCCATGCGAGCCCCTCTCCCACACGCCATTTATATGTCTGCCACTCCGCATGTGCATTTGCAGATGCCGATGCTCTGCTCTGCTCAGAGTGCTTTGAAGAATGCTTTTGGTTTTTAGCCACTGATGGCCACTGTTCGCCCTGTTCGGCCTCACAGGTTACACATGTTTGCACTAGACTGAGACTCCGAAGGTAGGGATGGGCCACAGGTGGTGAACTTGTGAATGGTGAGGCTGGTGTGGTGTTGCGTCTGTTGCGTGTTCATTTCGTGCTTCCCTTGCGGAGAGTTGTGATGAGTGCGCACGGCACCACTGGGAACACTGGAAGCGTTTTCTCACAAACAAAGTGGCCGAACAAAGTTGAAGACATTTGAAGATGTTGAAAGAAGTTGTACCGCCGGAGCAGTGACGAAGAAGGCGATCCAAGACCCGAGCACCGGGTCTCCTGACCCGGGTTTTCAAACGCAAAGACCCGCAGAATAGCCCAAGTCGGATGCATCTCTGCCACTGCGAGCTAAAGGTCCGAGCCTGGGTCTCGGGACCAGGCATATTTAAAGGTAGCCCCGAAAAGGCCGTGATTGGTCGCAAAAGGGTCCACGAAAGCAAATGCATAATACCCTTGTCCCAGCAGCGATTGACATTTTCGGAATCTTCTCCAAGGACCCGTGGTGACATGCGTGTTGTGCCACTACGCAAATTGCAAGCGCCTGTGCCAACATCTTGACGCGCCACGGCCCGCGCCATATACTCCCTGTCCGGGGTACTTGTCGTTCTGTGAGTATTGGTCATTATTGGTCCCCATCCTCAATAGCAGGAGTTGGCCTGTATGTCGCGCGTGACCCTCGTAAGTTGTGGGCAAGCCCTGACATGGACCTAATCTGCGATAGCTAATTCTTTCTGTGTGCAATTGAAAAACCATGAAAAACCTAAAAAAACGTTTGCTTCTTCGTTTTCAGGCTGTGCTCCTTGTACTGCCTGCGAGGATGTTTATGGAGCTGGGATTGCCGCCTTGGTGCGGGACTCCTACAGTTTGGTCGACGGCAAGGCAGCAGCAAATGAATTGAATGGTCTTGCAGTGCAACTTGTCCACATCATCACAGAACATCACAGACTTGCATTGCTGCGGATGGTTCTCATCGCCACTTGTCATGTGGCCCGGATGCTGCATTCTTGCGCGTGCTTGCAAGTGCAAGGCGTTCTTTTTACTTCTTTTCACTCATTGGGCGCACATGCAACGACAAAATCAGTAATGCCATTGCGCCTGTGAAGTTTTGCTGCTATTGAATGGAATCCTTTGAATGGGATGGCATTCTTTCCCCGAGGCCAGGACTTTGAAATCCAAGACCCCTTAAGATTCGTTGGGGCCGGGCTTTCAAGAAGCGGCCAGGCACTTTCCAAAAAGCTTGGTCTTTGCAGCATCCCAAGAGGCCAGGACTTCGAACTGGCAAGCCCGAGGCTGTTTGAAGGCCTGTCCAAGAAGAATGCAATGCCCACAAGCCTCAGATTGCACTTTTTTACGCCAAAGGCCTTTCAAAGTCGGCTCAACATGTCAAGGGCTGCTTAGTCCGAGGGCTGCTTGGCAACTTTTCATGAATTTGAACCGAACGCGGAAAACTTGACTTTCTAGCCCGCCCGAACTAAGACGGGTCCAAGCAAGACGAATGCCGACGATTTGCGTGGCAGGTAGTGTGTTTTGTTGGCAACTCGTGGCTGTGGTCACTCCGGAGATCGACACGTTGGGGCAACCTTCATGCCATCAATAAATGCCAAGTGAGCAGACGGAGTCTGCTCAGATGGTGCAAGGGATGTGTGGGCACCGCATCGCTTTTCCTCAGTTCGGGAGACAGCTCCTTGACCATGATTCCTTCTCTTGGTGTCTCATCTCCCATTGCATCGAATTCAGCGACTGCTACCCGAGTATGCCAGAGCACGCCCGTTCCCGGTGATACCCGGTCATGGCCGGTCATGGAGACTTCCTTTTCTTAAAACGTGTTGGGAACATTGCGTCGGGATCGACCATACTACAGTAAATCCTGTGTGGGAATTCGCCGCGCTGTCGGTGCAGGTGCATGCGCCTTCCCTGTTGTGGAATACGAACGCTTCAGATGATTTCTGGAGAAACCCAGGTGTAAGCGTATGTTGGCATTAGCAGGCAGTGACCCACACGGCATTAAAATATGCCTCTGCGAAAGATCCGCGTTGGGAGGGCGAAAGTAATTTTTGTTCGCGAAAGTTCTTAAGTAGCCCAGGTCTTGTTCTATGTTGCCAGCAGCTTCCAGGCTTTCAGTTTCCGATTAAACTGCCCGGATGGCTCCGAAATACTCGCAGAACAAGGGGATCCGGAAGCAGCTCTCAGGGCTGGATGTTTGGCGAAAGTTCCGCGTAAGTTCCGCGTAAGCCCCACGCAAGTCGAGGTAGACATTCCAAGGACAGCACTCATCTGAGGTGCGTGTTGGCTGTTATTGGGGTTCATATCTCTCAAATAGTGAAACCAATCCATTGCCGAAGGAACTGCAAGGCCCTGTATGGTTCTGGACTTGAACCCTAAGCCTGGAACTCTGGACCCTAAACCCGAAACCCTAAGTCCTAACCCTCAACACTCAAATTTGGCTTGTTGAAGCTTAGGGAGCTAGACCTTGATCTGGGCTAACAGCATAAACTTGCACCGCGATGGGTCGGCGAAAGTTTTGCGAAAGTTATTTTCACGAAGATGGCTCTTTCGCTACTGGCACTAACGTGTTCCAACGACAAGAATAAGAGGGGCAGTCGCTGTTGTTTCCCGTCACGGTGGCATTTTGGATGAACATCGTGCCTCAGCTCGCCGTCCTCGAAACTGCCATTGCTTTTGGACTTGGCCTCGCGAAATGCGAAAGATTGCGAAACTGTCGTCGCTTTTGGCCGTTGAGCGACGAAAATGCCTGGCTGCCTCGTTATCGGGCTTGTGGATGTTCGGGGCTTTTGCCGTTTGAGGTCTACCCTGCCAGAACAGGGCAGGTTGGCGAAGGAGTTCGTTTCTCCACATGCCTCATCTTTTTCATTTGTCGTGTTTTTGCACGTGTGCAATGAAACACAAGTGCAGCAGGTTCGGCTCCCCGTCAAAATTTTGAAAACCACCACCTCACCCGCCCGGGGCAGTGAAGCGTGCGCCATCCCGTTGGACCAGTACGAACACCCAATTAAGGCGGTGAACGCTGAAGCATGAAATGATCAGCTAATTCAGTGGGTCGAGAAAAGTCCGACCTCACGTTAGTGTTACGAACTCCTGTTCGTGTAAGCGTCTTCGTAATGTACTTGTCTGGTGTTGCTGTGTTGTTGTTGGTGGCCGCGGCAGCCGTATATAATAACGACACTCAAACTCCAACATGTTCTGTCAGGGCGATCTTGCCCTCCGACTTTCACGCTTGGGCAGCAGCTTGCTGCTGATGTTTTTCGTGTCTGGGCCGGGATAGACCATGTTGCATGGCACAACGCATGTTTAACATTAAATGTGGCAAGCGAGATGCCGTTGCTGGCCATGATGCACAGTTTGCGGCTCACGAACCACGCGTTATCACGTGTTATCCCATTCAGCAATACTCGCCGAGCGAAACAGCATTCCCCGCCAAGGTTGTGTTCTTGCAAATATTTGTGATCAAACAGATGCAGGCCCGTTCTTGGAGGGTGTACGCCGGTGTACACTCTGCAATCTCTGCATTTCTTGGGCACGCCCGTCGTTGACTAATTGTGAGGCGCTGGTCGCCAGCCGTGCCGTGACAGAAATTCGTCAGATCTACGGCAGGCCTGTGTCTGTGTACTTCGTGCATCACGAGACATACATCCGGCGCAAAAAAGTGAGATTGCAGCAACAGGCAAAGGGTTCGCTTTGACAAGGTTCAAGCAGGGTTTGTTACTGTACAACTTCACGGAATTTGTCCCTGCGCTGCGGCATGCCCCGGCACACCAGCTCATTGAGCGGTACTTTCGGTACTAGGTATTCTGCCGGGCGCAAGTTTAGGAGCTGTGCATGTTGCTAAATAAGTTAAACTGTGCTTGGTACCAGTCTTCGCCCGGGTTCTCAAAGCAATTCTTTCCACTCGGGCCGGTTCTCATTCCAAGTCCAAATGCCAGGCATATCCGGAAAGGACTGACATGATCGATCATAAAGGTTTGCAATGGCCAGGCCATTGCGGAAAAGCCAGAACAGTCCAAAACTAGGCCCGGCCCCCGAATGAATTGGACACGTTCTGCTTCTTCAGTCAAAACTGCACAGGAAATGCAACGGCGTCCGGCATCAGTGAAGTGCAAAATCAACTGTCATGCTGAGGTGTCGCTTGGCCTTTTGTGCAATGCTCGTGTTCTTCTTGTATCATATAGTAGCTGGGAAAGTAGTTCCCTGATGTCTTTCAAGGAAAAGGCCCAGATCAAATTTGCCGCAAAGATGCAGGGCAGAAAAGACTTGCAAACAACGCAAGGGAGTCCTTGCGGGCATGCCACGGACATGAAATGGAGACGAAACAGAATTGAAGTGGAAATGACATGGAAATGAAGCGACAATGACACTTAAAATGGCACAGACATGACGTGAATATGAAACGGACATGAGGCTGACATGAAGCTGGCGTGAAGCGGACACGAGAAGGAGATGAAAGTGACAAGCCGCGGATGTGAACAGGAAATGAACGTGACATACAGGGGTAGAGTCGAGATGCAACTGAAGCGGAGATGATGCAGACGTGTGCATGACATGGAATGCAGAGGGAATAGTGAGTAGCGTGTCGGAATAGAAACGCATGAACATATCTGAACGTCGCAAGGTGTTGCTGCTGCACTGTGCCATTGTTATAAGCCCAAGATCGACGCGCTGTTCGGGTTTTCACTGGGATGGTTTTTTGATACCTCACCTGTGTGTGAGCCGTGCAGCAAGCAGGTTTGAGTTCGTCATGTACGGCGCGGACGTCACGCACAATTACTTGACTCCAAACGGTTTCCCACGTGGGCTCGACAAACAGTACTTTGATCCGCAGCTCAGCCGCAAGAAACGCTTGGCTATTCATGCACCAAAAGAGGCGAGTTGTGGCATCACTACTGAATGTCCAGACGTTTTTTCGAGACAAGGTCCAATTTCGGGCGCCTGACCGGCGAGGAGAAAGATCTGGCTTGCAACTTCCTTTGTTAGTTTCTGCAAGTTTACCGAGCGCGCTGCCCTGTCAGTGCAGATTCCTTGTCTGGCCACAATCAGGCAACATCCCGTTCTCGCAGATGCAAATCTTGGTGCCCATCTTGTTCATCTGGCAGCTTGGCCTGCCAGTGAGTAGCCAGCTGCGCTGAAAATCAACTTGTGTAGGCTAATGTATGCCAGACAGCCCATGACCGAGGACCCTGACAATTGTGGCGGACCTGCGACGCTGTGGAGATTTGTTTGTTCGTCTCATTCTGGCCACGCCAACCATCACCAGCATGAAGGCAGGGTGGTGTTCACAGAATCCGTCGTTGTGCTCGATTTCACCAGTGCGAGCGGCTTGAGTCAAGGACTCTGTGGTCGAGGGTGATGGGGAATGCGAGATCATCGTTGGCTTAACGAAAGAAGTCAAGGCCATGCTCCTTTCCACATGTACCTTCTCTCCAGTTTAAATAGCAAGCCGCAAGCCGAGAGCATGACATGATCTATTTGGTAATGCTCTGGCAGCAGCACCAGATTGCCCCAAAACTGACAGAGCGGGCCTGTGCAACGGTAAACAAGTCCTGAGAGCAATCGTCAGTTTGAAACAGTTGGGTTCTTCCAGTGCGTGGCAACTTTGCAATGTTTGCAAGCGGAGACAAGGTATGATCCCACGTTGGGTCATTGATGTCTATTTACTTTGGCTCGGGTGCCGCTGGTTATCTGCCACACCGAATTTTGGAGACTTGCTGCTCAACTCAGCTGCTTGGCGTATGTGATTTTATGGAGTCACTGCATTGTTGAGCCCACGGTCACTGCACTCAGCTAGTGATGGGCTGGTTCTCATCGGAGGGCTTCAACCAACTCTGTCAGGTTGCCTTGGAGTTCATCGTGCTTCTGAAGGACCTCAATGGATAGAAAGGGTATTGGAAGTATTCTGGCCGTTTCTGACGGGCTACGGGAGGGCTTCCAGAAACTTTGTCTCGAAGCCAAAGCGTGCCACCACAAATCCAGGATACGCTCTTCATCGGCAGGGTTGCCCAGCTGTCTTCTTCCTTGTGACTGGCTAATGTGCAGAACTGCCTCAGCCGACCAAGCGCAACTGCACGGCTGCTGTGTTCTAGTATGCTCTTCTTTCCGAGGTGTGGTCCCAGATCGACACTTGACAGCAGGGTCGTGTTGTTGCCTGCATTGCCATGCATGTCGTCAAGCTGGCAAGTCGTCGTGGGCTGTGCAGCTTCAGGCAACAAGCGAGCCACGCAGAACACACTGATCCAACCATGGCAGAAGCGTGAACCTGCAAACTACCGATTCTGAGATGCAAAAGGTCCAGGTTGTAAGAGTCTGGTTGAAGTGTCATTGTGCGCTCAGAATGGTTACGTGCTAGGAGTCTTCCTATCAGCCTTTGTCCTCGTCCTCGTGTCTTTCTCGTGGGTCTACTACTACATCTATCGCTTCCAGGCACACTCACGCACATTGCTGAATGCTATGCTGATAAGCTAGTGTGCGGCCGATTCTGTTTGCAGCTGCAGCTTTTATCACGCAAGCAGTGAGCCATCAGCAGGCCAGTGAACAGGAGGTGTCCAGTTCGGAGCAATGTGCCTTGTAGGCTGTGCTGCCAGATTACAAGTGGGATGTTCACGAGGTGGGCTTCCCGCTTTCTTCGTGGTCCTTGCGAGATGGCAGTTTGAAGTTCATAAGTAAAAAGACACAGCAGCACGACAGGGCAGGGCAGAAAAGTGTATGTTCAGCACATTAGGTCCATGTTCTTTGCTGACGGTAAGGGCAGGCAACGGCAAAGGCACTGACCTCGCCTGAGCTTGTACTGACATGAAGGCTTCCGGAACTCATGTGGGCCTGGGCGTATGTGGGTGCGCATGGCATGCATGGCTGCCCACAGCCGGAGGCACTCACAATCAAAGGTCTATGTACAGAATCTGTACGCAAATCGGGTTATGCCATGGTTGTATGTGAATCGGTTGAAAAGGCGACAAGCCCAAAGCAATAAACTCGTGACTTGGCCGCTGGCCTACCCCGTTAGAAATTTGATTGCTTGGCCTCGAAACACAGACTAAAGATTTTCTCAGGGTCCGACAGCCTGAGGCCTTAAGGCAGGAAGCCTCAGCCTTATGCTTCTGGATCGAAACCCAACCAGCTCTGATCTCAAACTCAGGCTTTCATGGAGGGCCAGTTCAGAAGCGTTTTCTAGAACAATCTATTCAACAACCTCCCCGGAAATCCGCATCGGCCGACTTTTTTTCACAATTCCGGGGGGGCCCTATCAACGGGGGGGTTCAACATTGAAGTTGATGCCTTCCAAAGGTTGGTTTGCTCAGTTTCAAGCCACATCGTTTTTTCGAAGAGGTTGCCTCAGCAGAAATGAACAACATCCGTAGACCTTTGGTGGTTTTCGTCGACAACTGCATCACATGTTACATGTTCTAGCCAAGTCTCGGACTAAACTTTTCCTTTGCAACCCACCTTGCCATCACAGATGCCACAAGTTTCAGCTGCATGCAGCTAATCGGGGTTGACTCCGTTGACCGCACGGTCCCGAGGGGTCCCTATAGGGCACGTCGCTAGGGGGGTTCGCTATATTTCTCGGAAGATCCCTCCCAATCTCAACAGGCCCCCCCGCCCCGACCCCAACTAAAAAAGGCAAGGCGAAAGTGTCACGGGGGTTGGCTCCATTATCGTGAGCTCCTAACGCCCGAGGCCTGGGGTCTCGGCGGGTTAGTACAGTCTTGATCGTCGCATGCGAGCCTGCTTCGGTCAGGTGTGCAAGAACTACATCCAGTCAATCACATCTGGCAAGTCCAGATAACTCAAACGACTGCAGTCCACATGAAGATTGCTGGCACACCAGCTGCCGTTGGAAGTGTTGATGGGGCGTTGAGAAATGAGAGCCTCAGGCTTCAATTGTGGCTCAACTGTAGCAGTTGACTCTTTCAGAGAACCGTTGCGTGCCTGGTCCAGCGATGCTCGCCATGCTGTTGAATGACCAGGGCATCTGTCTTGAAGTCGCAACATGTCGTACTGTAGCCTTCATACAAGGGAAGCTCTGATCTTTTCCTCACTTAGAGAGGCGAGGTGAAGTCGAACACTGGTGCAACTACTGGTGCAAGTGGGCCCGTCATGTCGGGCTTGACTTCAGTCCCCGGGGTCGGCTTGCTGTGGCATTTGTTTGGCCACCTTGCAATGCTTCCAGGGTTTCCCATTGTTTGGTGTCGGCTGCCTGGGCTCGCTTTGGATGTTTCTGGGTTTGGGGCCGCATACCTCACCTCGAAGCAAGCCTTCGCCCCGAGAGTAGCTAACAGCACGGCCAGCTAACACGTGGCAGCAGGGTGACAGGAAGTTGAAAAGAACTCAAGAAGGTGCTAGGTTCCAGCAAGCACGACTTCGAGACCCGCTCGAGCACGAAGCTGGTGCTGCCCGCCTCATGGCTCATCTCATGACCGAACACAGGTGTAAGAATTTCGTGGGACCCATGTGGTTCATGTGATGTCACATGGAAATCAAGCACAAAGCAAAGGAACCACACCCATGGATATCAGATGGGACTGGGAGCACCCCAAGCAACATTGTGGTACCCTGGAAATGTCGAAGCTCGACAGACACAAAAGCCTAAGCCTGTGAGGGTATTGTGGGTTGTTTCTAACAGCAAAGTTGAGCTGCTCAGCTTTATGTCCAAGCAGCTCATGTCTGTGCCCGCATGGCCGAATAGGAGACGCTGTCGAAGAGACGTGTGCTGAACTTCAGCTTGCGAGCACTGTCGTAATACCTGTTCTGAAGCCAACTATGCATAGCCATGTTAATGTATCGGTCAAGTCCTTGATCTCTAGACTGGTCACCAAATTCTAACTAACAAGAAGCTCACTAAACTTCCTTGTCGGAGCTGGCAGAGGACATGCGCCGTGTCACGATTTTGGCCTGGCTCTGCTTGGAGGCCACCGATACACGCACTAACAGTCAGTGATTCGTGTGAGTGCATGTGGGTGTGGTTTACCTTTCTCATTCGTTTTGGTTTGTTTGATGCATAACTTCTGCACAGTATGACTTTTCCATAACTTTTCGCTCGGGCAGCTGCCAGCTCGGACGCGCATGGAAGAGTCGGCACAGACGTACGGGCGACGGCGACAGACAGATCAAGATTTGCATAAGTTGCAAGTTTGTTGAACAAAGCGACCGAAAAACTCAGCAGCATCTGCAGCTGAGAGCGATAGCGGCGAGGAAGCACGTGCAGGCGAAGAAGCGTTTTTTTCAGCACTATGGCTCGCATTTTTGGTTACTCCTCGTGCAACCTCCACTTTCGCAGGCGCGGGGCAAGTGCCCAAGGACATTTCCTCGGCACAGAGAGACGCGAAATGCAGGATTTGCAGGAAAAGGGAAGGAAAAGCAATGTTGGTCAATTGTCCCCAAAGAAAGAGTAAAGGCAAGACAGGGCCTGGCTGGAACCCCGCCTATTGAAAATGTGCAGCATGTCAAATTCTGTTGTTTCCGGCCTCGCCCCTAACTCAAGGAATAGCAAAACAAAACAACATGCTCCCGGTCGCGTTCTCTCCACCCGTCTGACAGGTTGCTGATTGGTGCCACGAAACTCCCAAACACGGTTTGGGCTTTGTCGCCAAAGGGCCAGCGCACAGGACGAATCTCTGCTGTGTGAGGAACCTACTCGACCGAGTCGTAGCTTGACGAGGCAATTGTCGGGCTGTCCGCGTCTTTCGACATGCAGGGCAATGTTATGAAGGAGATCTGTAGTTTATGGCAGGGATGGATGTCCGTAACCCCTCTGGGTTGCGCTGGGTTGCTCGCTCAGAGCTGCCGTACGTCGACTTCACTCCAGTCTTACGCAGGCGAAAAGTTGTTTGCCAATGAAGTCATTCATCCTTTCCGAGTGCTTCTGTCAATGATCTCGCGCACGTGCGCTGTGGACAGCGCAATGCAAGGACAGTTCTTTCAGAACCACTGACTATGCACTGCGCGGTGCTGTTCACATGCAAGCTCTCTTTTGGCTACTGCTGATCAACTCTCCTATACAGGAGCATCTCGTACGAACCCTTTGTTTGTGCTGGCAGCCCTCGACCCGTCTGAAACAAGCCAAAGAAGTGACGGAACGGCGGCGACGCTGAAGACTCGCAGTGCGTAGCACTTTTGTGCAGTTGACAGTTGACGTCCCGATGGTGCTGGTTCTCTACGGTTCGCGGTTCTTCAAGGTTGGCAGCTGCCGCGTCGCGCAGCTGGACCGAGAGCGAGTGTTGTGGCGCCGACCTGCCCTCCAACTAACCTCCACCTCCTTCCTCTCTAGAAAAAAAACAGCGCCAAGCGGCGAAGACGATGCTGGAACCTTGTCACCAAACAAGCTGGAATAAATGGTGCCACGGTGCGAAAAAGTAGTGAGGGAGGGTGCATCGAAATAGGGGCTGAAGCTTTCATAGGAACTTGGTATGGATCGTTTGCTGAGTCGGCCGGCAGCATTCAAGATTTGGTCGTGTGGCCACGTTTTGAACGATAAGATAACGATGACCAGAACTAGAACTTTATGGCGTACGAAAGGAGTGCATCCATGTGCATCCCTTCAGGTAGCTCGAGCCCATTCAGCAAACTCTCAATCCCACAGGCATGGCAATCGCTCTCGTCCCAAAGCCATTCCTCTTTTCTAAGTGTTTGCTATGAGCAAACGCGGCGAAACGAGGAGGAGCCGGAAACAAGCGATCACAACGAATGGGGCCAGCAGGTTGTACCGGGCTGTTTTGCCCCACGACCTTTGGTGCGTTGCGTTAAGGTCGTCTTGTGTTCACGCGACGTTTCTGGGAACACTTCGTTCCTTTTGGGGCTCCCAGAGGCTAAGAGCTTGGAGATGCACGCATCAATCGCGCCCCGATGCATCCAACTTGGCATTTGTAAAATCTGTCTCAAAAGCAGACACCGAAGCATGTGATCGCATAGATCATGTTTTCTGGGAGAACTGATATTTGTCGAGCGAAGATTGAAAGCTAAAATCTCCCTGTCCAAGAACTGGGGGAAAATCCGAACCCCATCAACTCCCAAAGCTGACTTCCGAAGCTATGGCGCACGCCCAGAGTTTTCTGGGATGCACGGCGAGTTCGAAGAGATTTGGTTTCCACGGGGTTGCGCCGGGCATATATCAAGCTATGGTAAGTGCAGGAGCTGGCAGGTGTGATGAATTCGGCAATGTGGCCAGAACCATATGTTTTAGAGAGGAAGTGTCTGGCGGGATGCCTTAAGCCCCAAAAGTTTCAGCTTGGGAGTGCAGGGTGTCGGGGTTGAGGGTTTGAATTTAAGGATTTAGGGCTTTGGGTTTGAACAGGAGGGTTTGGGGTTTGGGAGTTGGAAACTTTGAGACATTAGACTGTGACCTGCACGCGATCCCCCTGCCCGACCGTGTGGAACGCATCCCAAATCTGACGCTTGATGTCTCCAATGCCGCTTGGCACTTTATCCTGACTTTACACCCTGAAATCTCTCGCTCTTTGTCTGCCGACTTGGCAGCTCGCATACCTTGTGAACTTTGAAGTCCGACCTGCAAACAGGAGAATCGCTGCGAGTAAATCTGTCGGTTTGGTTTGGTTGGGGGTGCTTGGGTTCTGCTTGTTTTTCGCTCGAGTGGCTGTGGAAAAATGCATTTGCCGATGTCTCATCAGTGAGCTCGCCAGCCCATGTTGGCCCAAGACTTTGTTGCACTAGAGGCATAAGGGGTTTGCAGCCTGAGGCATGCGTACTTGTGTTGTTGGGTTCAGGGACTGCAAATAACGGTTCAGTATGTCTTTATGTGTGTCTGTGTCTGCGTGGCTCCGTCTGCGTCTGTCGATACACTGTGTTAGTTATGTCTTTACAACTGAATGCCGGAAGCCTCTCCGTTTTCCAACCTCGCATCGCCCCAGCCGAAGGAGAAGCATGGTAAACAGCAATATCGCCACTTTGCCGCCTCTTTTTTTCTCTTTAAACTCCTTCAAAAAATCTTTTAAAGTGCCTTCAACGTCGCGCAGGTAGCCACAGCGCAAGAGCTCGCCGTGGTGCGGCCCTTTGCGAGCAGCCAAGAGATCCAGGAGCGCCGTGATCTGATGGGATCACAGGGCAAGGCTGCAAGGTACAGCACCTCACATTCGGTCCGACATTCGGTCCGGCATTCTGTCATCTGGTAGGTTAGGGCATCTTCACATGGCCAGCTAGTTGGACCTTCTTGGCCACACGTGGGTTGATTGCTTTTGAAGTTCCCCGTGCTCTTCCAGCCTGTGAGGATATGGATCGGGCATTTGCAATTTGGAACACAGTTTCCCCATGTGGCGACAAAGCCTTCGCCGAATTCGATTTGATTCTTGTGCTTCTTGGTTCAATGCAGCTTTGTGACGGCAGAGATTTCGCCGTTTGGGAAGGAGCGTTTTTGAGATATCAAATTTGAAGTTGCAGCAATCCGGCGATTTGGGGGCCTTTTGGTTCCTGGGTGTGCCAGTGCTTTGAGTTCCCCGAAGTGCCGCGACGGAACCCAACTCATTGTGATCACGCCATGCCAAGGTACCATCAGAAAGAATCCAGTACGTTTGTTGTTTGAGGGGGCCTGCCCCGCCGCCCCCCCTCCCCCCCCACCCCGCTGGTTTCGCAAAATCAATGGCCATTAGGTTGCCAACGAACGCCGAACGCCCTTCCCAACCTCCGAGTTTGTTTTAGTTTTGCTTGGAAGCCGTGCATGCTTTGATCTAAAACCCCCTCCACCCATCATATTCGAGGAACTATGCCAAGAAGACTTTTAAGACCGCACACCATCATCACCATCCCAGCCGGTCTATCTTGACAGAAATCTGTAAAGGAGAGCGGCCTTTTGTTCTTTTGTGCGGCCGCAGAGGCTTTTTGTTGTTTATAGTGGTTGCAGGCGGTTCTTTCTTAAGAAAATTTTTGTAAAGGTGAAAAGGCCCTGAAAGACCCCTGAAAAGGCGTGTTCTCAAGATGTGAGCTCAATTCCGAATAAGAGGCTTCCAACGTGGGACAGTGCACCCTGAGAACACGCCTTTTGTCTCACCTTCGTCTCCGTTAGTAAGACCGCCGAATTGACCGTTCTACTTTCCTGCGGTTGTGCACTGCAAGCCCACTAAACTTGATGTACACTATTTTTGGGACTTCACCGGGTTGCATTGCCAAGAGAGTCTTGGTGACTTCCACATAAACCGAGGTATAGTAGCTACTTGGATCAGCACGCAGCTTTCTGCTTTCACTTTGATTGCTTCAAGTGCTCGCGCAGCTTCAGTTCTTGAGGGTTGTGTGCCATGCCAGCAGCGAACAGGAAAATTCGAAGAAAATCCTGACGCTGTTGCAGCAGTGGATCGCATCGTTCTGGGCTTCCGCGAAGGAAATGAGCCATGGCACAGGATCGCTTGAAACATGTTAGCAAGATGTTGGTTTATGCTTATATCGGCGGCAAAAGTTCAACCTCCGGGTACCTCTGGCTCCGTGGTGAGGGCTGTCGCCGACTGTCGCTGGCAGGTGTTTCCGGGCAGTGCACGTCAAGGCCGCAAACTTGACGGCCCACGAGGACATGCGTCGTTCATCATGATCAGTGATTACGGCTTACGGTAGAGCTTTTCTCAGATGAACATTTAGGGGACCCCAGTGAATGTCGAAGCCTGCAAAGACTGTTGGCTCGTCTGGGAATCTTGCCTCGCTATTGTTCAGCAAGGTTGGGCTACAGAAATAGGCTGATTCGCAGCATGTTTGGTCAGACAGTCGCCCTTCGTGAGGATGTGTATGACTCGCGTGGTTATACCGTGCGCAAGGATTGGGTCAATGGCCCGAACAAGGTTTTCAGTGCCCAGGTTGCAAGCTCGGCGATCACTGGAATGCCGGACACCGACGGGCGAAAAGACCGTCTCTGAAGAGTTGATGCTACAATGGCTACGCATGCTTCATGTACTTGTCCACATTTCATCCTTCATGCGCTGCACAAGCCAAGGCTACGTTTTGCGAAGTTTTCTGGAGAGCAGGTTCTCCCCAGCTGATTATGCTGCATTCTATTTCATGGCCACTTAGACCTGGCTTAGGTGCGGAGTAGTATGTAGTATGTAGCCATGTGCAGCAGTTCTTGCAGCATGAACTGCATGATGTATGAACCATAGTGCGGGATCATGCGGATACCTGCTTCATCCTGCTTCCAGCTCTGAACAGCAAAGGAGTTTGATTCGGTCCCCTTGCGAAGCATGTGGCTGGATCAGCTTTATGCGGAGGCCAGTGCACCCACCACTACTCTCAAGCGAGGAAAGAGTGGGTTTTGTAGAAGCTGGGCAGCATGGAACGTCTGAGAAGTCCAGTCGACAGACAAGGTTGTGGTGTATCCCCGAGCTGCCATTCGGGGCAGCCGCTATCGCGGTGATTCATGGGATCCTTTTTTGGCTGAAATCCCGACCGAGCAACTGAGCAGATACTGATTACTAGTAGCATTGAAGCTTGGGATTGCTTCAGTGTGGTGTCCAGCACGGTAGCAGATAACTTAGAAACTTAGAAACATCCTGAAAGTCTCCAACTGCCATGTGAGCGTAGACGTGTGTTTTGCAGCTCGGACCACAAAGCCAATTTTGCCAAGCAGGGCATACTTCTGGAACCCATGTTATCGCTTCGCTCTTGTGGTTCCACGTGGGCAAGCCGGTAAGTGAGCCGGCCAAGAGCCTCCGCCCAAAGCAGCAAAAACAAGGCACGTGCTCCCACCACAGCAGCAAAAGAAGAATGCATCCCCGCCATAACAGCGGCAGAATCCGTCCCCCTCCCCCCTTCCCCACCTCTCCTTCGCTGTTGCAAAGCCAAGGCTGCTGCAGCACATAAATGGCAATGCCATCTACTTCAAGCATCCGTGGCTGCAGTTTTTGGCAGACCAGCTGGAGGAGCCACAGACTTACTTGCAGACCTTTTTTCACCTCAAGTCAGGAAGAGACACCGGCTGATGTACAGCCAAGCAAGTTTAGCGTGGTTTAGTTGGAACTAGTTGTCGAAGGCAAGGCATAGTTTGGGGACAACCTGCTGACGCTTGGTTGGTAAGGCACTCCTCAAAAAATACGAGTTTTGCCGGCTTTTCAAAGCGTGAGAACATTCTTTTGAAGATGAACTCGGCCAAAAATGTGGGAGCCCGCGGCAGCTTTGGCCACTTCTTCCAAGCAGCTACAAGAAGATGCGACAAGGAGATTGAAAGAAGTGCAAAAAAAGGGGGTATCAGCATGTACCAGAAATAATCAACAAGTTGTGGCAGGTCAATTCAAGCCTAAAACGTGGTGAGAAATCGCGGTTCCAAAGGACCTTTTCCTTTCCTCATCCCTCATTCCATGCTTGTGGACATTTCTGGACTTGCCCTGCAGGGGCTTTACGGCGACAATTCGGAAAACCCCCTGAAATCGCATACTTTGATCTTTGGGCAGGGATCCTCCACACCCTTTCATTCTTTGGAGCTGGCAGCCAGACATGTCCTGCTTTGACATCGTGCTTCCAGAGTGTCATCGAGTGTGTCTGGACATCTCTTGTCTCTTGCAAGTTGCATGGTAGAAGGATCATCCCGTTCGTTTATGAACTCCAACATGGCTTTTGTTCAGGAGGATGCGGCTTCAGACAATAGCAGTGTCTTGGGAGCAAATGGCCTGAGTAGATCTTCATCGGCATCGGTACAGTTCGAGCTTTTCTGACTCTTGAGGTATTGCATTTGACGTCCGCATGGCAGCATTGACTCTGCAAGCCTCTCGGGAAGCTGCAGAGAACGACACAACTTTGTTGGCTGAAGCGTGGAAGCAACACGTCCCAGAAGGAGAAACGGTAGGGACGGGAAGGGGGGTATGGGTAGGGACAGCAGGACCCAGAAGCACAGGCAAACATTTGTGCATGGAGTTCCCCATTAGATTCTACAGCATCAACTTTCTTCGGACTTTCGGTTGCTGTTTCGGGCCCTCGTCAGATGACCCTGTGCTGAGCAGGAGAGCAGCCTTATCGAGATGATTCCTTGCTGGTCGGGAACTATGCCAACACATTGCTGAACAACAGCTTTGACTCTGGAGAATTTGCGCCCTGGAAGCTTGACACACATGCCGTTGTGTACCCGGATTTTGGACCAAGCTATGGCAAATTCCGTGTTTGCCAGGTGCGTCATGCGTCCTTGAACAACGTGCTTCACAACATCGAAACGTCACAACTTACCTTGGTTGTGGTGGCATATGATGATTGGAGTCAGTCCCTTCTTTTGAAAAGCCTAAAGGAGGAACATCACCCTTTCCGAGCCTTGAATCCAGTTGGACCTAGGTCCCTAGGTGTCTGCATGGTCACAATAGATGTCGCCTCTCTCAGCCCGTGATTCCCGTGATAAGGAAATGTCTTGGTCCTTTCGGATGTAGAAGGTGCGATGGAAATCGAGACTCCCAGAGGCGAGATGGTACCCGAGTAGGCTCAGTACCGACGCTGCTTGACATGTTCAGGTCCGACGCGGTTGCAAGAAACGGCTTGGGCAGGAGAGACTGCAGCATCCCAAAGGCCCCAAAGGTGCTCGCATGCAGTGGGGACTGCCGGCTGTGTGCGGTTAGCCTTCTCCAGCTTGCTGTGACTAAAGCCCTAAATCCCTGAACCACAAGCCCCAACCCTCAGCCCCAAGCGGGCAACTGAAAAAGGATGTGCAGAGGACCGAAGTGCATGAGTGCTGGACCCCTCTACCATTGTTTTGGAAGTTCTTGTCGTTGCCTGACAGAGAGGCTCTTATGGGCGATGCGGTTGCGTAAGTGCCACTGCGGGAGAGCAGTTTGGAGCGAGGGAGAGAGAGCGAGAGAGAGCTAGAGAGACCAGAAGAAGCAGAAGAATAAGAAGAAGAAGAAGAAGAAGAAGAAGAAGAAGAAGAAGAGAAGAAGAGGAAGAGACAAAAAAGAGAGAGATAGAGAGAGGGACAGAGACCTCTTCGACACGATTCCCATGATGAACCACAAGACATTGACATCAGGAGACGTAAACGCCAGGTGCCAGCAGTGATTGAATTCCAGGGAATCTCCTCCCCATGACAGTCAATGAACTGCACGATGGCCACCTGCGAACGCGCCCTACGGGGCGGCTCCCCTCTGGGGGGGCCAAGCGTGTGTGGGAGAGAGAGAGAGAGAGAGAGAGAGACGCAGAGAGACAGCGAAAGCACTGAACTTTTTCAAGGAAGTACGGACAGTGGAATTGCCTCCAAATTGCGACATCAAGGCCTCCTCCTGGTGCCCTCTTCTCCTCTGCCTTTTCCTTCGCCCTTCCTGTGCCTCTGGTCTTGTGGTCCTCGGCTCTCCGAGGCCCTTGGTCTCCTAGCCCTCGGGCTCCTGAACCTTTGTAGGGTGTCTGCACAGGAACAACTAGGAAATACAGCTATGATTGGTAGTTAGTCTGAAATTTAAATGTGGAAACAGAGAGAGATACAGAAACATATGCAAACATATATAGGCGGCACATTCACCACCTCCCTTGGACCAACCTCGGATGTGAAAAATACCAAAGCCCAAAAACCAAAATTTTCTGGGAGAACTTCTGGCGAGGTTTGGATTTGGGGTTTTGGAGTTGTGCAATTTCATGTTTTCCTAAGGAAAAGCCCAAGAAAGCACAACTTTAACCAAAAGTAGCAGAAACTTTGCAAGAGAGAGAGAGAGAGAGAAAAAAAAGCAAGCAGTGTCAGTCGTTCCTCGTTGCTTTGGAGGAGCTCCCGAAACCTCGCTTTGCGATGCTGCGTTGGCCGTCACCACGACAAGCTTCGTGCAGTTTGCCCCAATATTTCCCTTCCAGTTGCGACGCTTCCTCTGCAGACTCTGCCGGTGCTGTCAGACTAAGGCTTACGGACACATACCATTTCATCGCAGGCCCTGTTCAGATTTTGGCAAATGAAGATGGCCATCCCGTGTTGCCATACATTCCGGCTTCGTCCAACTACTGCACGGGCTCTCGGGAATGCTCCTCTGCTTTGGACCAGGCGCGCATTGTACGAAGGTGCTTGCTGGGCAGCGCTTAGTGAAGATCTCTTGCTCTGCAGGCCGAAGCCTTTTTTGGTGTGGAGCTGCTCTACCACCACGACACCTTTGAAACCGTCTTTTTCACCGATGATGTTCGAGCTTTTTGCGAGACGTGGGGCGTTGCAGCCGACGCTCTGGGAAGCTATGAAAACTGCGACTACCTGCTCGGCCCAACGGCTGATGACTACATAGCCTGGCTGCATGGCGGCAACAACTAGGGGCAGTTTACCGGCGATGTATCATGCCAGTCAAACTTCCCAGGTTGATCTCCATGAGCAGGCCTTTCAGATATGTGCCCAAGAACAAGGCGTGGTCAGGGAAGAACCTATCGCGCATGGTTTGTATTCTGGTTGTTACTTTGAAGATGCCAAGCCTCCTTCAGAGCCCATTGCCATCTGCCAAATTGCAGAGCTCAAAGAAGCCCTCAGGAGCGAGTGGGCTGGAGGCCATGGACCACCTTATGGACACCACCTCCACCAGACCCACGAGATTGCGCAACGGCTGCATTCAGCATTTAGCACGGCATGCGGCAACATTCCAAAAGCCAAGTCAAGCACTGCCGTTTTTGACAGGCGGCCTGTATGGAGAGACTGAGTATGCCGCCCAATTGGCAAGCATTAGTGTTTCCTGGCTTTAGGTGGACCATCGTGAGCACCCGTTCAAATGTAGCGTTTTTCAGAATTTCGCATCGGCACTGCACCCAAGGAGTGCAGCCTGCTTATCAATGTCAGTGCATGTGAGTCCAGTCCGAATTGTACCTTCCGACCTCTTTTTGAGTCTGGCAGCTCGGCTCATCCGAATGTTGCATCGGCCGCCTCTGAATTGCACAATGCTGAGGCAAGTGCATTCAGACTTGGGAGCTTCTTGGACAAAAAGTGAATGTGTATCCACATACGAACCTGCGATATCGTGCGCTCGAATACAACGTCAACTTAGCAACATTGGGTGGATATAGAGGGAGCAGCATCCGCATGTCTGCAGATGATGCGAGCCCAGCCAACTCTTGAGGTTTGCATTGTTGCCGAAGCCTCCTCGTCCAGTTCCTTTGAGCCCCAGTCGCATGGTACTACAGGTGTCTTCAGTCTAGCGAGGATTCAAAAGGCAAGAGCTTGAACGATCTTGCATGTGCCCAGGACGTCCACAACCTGGCAGTTTGGGAAGTCAACAACATTCACACATACAGATACTACCACGTCCACATCCACGCGGACCTCTACTACTGTGACAACGTCACGGACGATATCGACAACCTTGCACACTCCTTCTCAGACACACACGCTTGGAGTGGGAACGTGCCAAGTCCCGGACATCGCAGATGTCGGAGATTGCTACTCATTGCTTCCGGGAGAAACTTGCCAAGTGCCTTGCCCTGCGGGCTATCAGGGTACACCTTCCCAGTATATCTGCCAAGCCAATCTCACATTATCTGGCGAGGAGCCGGAATGCATCAGGACAACTACTCCAAGTACGGCAGACGATGGCAGTCCATGCTCAGCAGGTCTTCCAATCAGTGCTGGTACTGACGTCAGCGACTGTCTCGGTATAATTGCAGGTGGGGCTTCGATCGATCATGACCTGTCATGTAGTTGGTCATAGCCGGTCCATGCTGCTGCACAAGTTGATTCACATACGTCCCATACTGTACTTCGGACCGTTTAAGACCTTCGGGTGAGTTTCTGTGTTAGGGTCCAGGGTCCTCTGACCACTTAAGATGCTGACCTGAGTTTTTGGCAAAAATCGTCGTCAATGACCTTGCCAGGGGCGACGTGTACAGCACGCTGCGCTGGCAGTTTTTCTGGTCTTCCGGTGCAGTATTACTGCACTGCAGATGGGACTTTTCAACCAGTTTCTGCTACTCTGGCATGCCAGGACAGGAAGTCAATCATGTGCGGAACGGGTATGGCGGGGTATGGATAATATGGCTAGGGTACTGAGTGGGTACTGTGTCTTCTTTCTCTGAAGTGGAGTAAGTTTTGCTCGGCATGCTTCGCGCCGAGAGACTTCGAGCTGTTCATTCGGAATCTAGCACATTCCGAGGATAGCTGGAAAAGGCAACTAGGGAACCCATGGCTAGTGGCACATCTCAGATGAATCGCATGGCGTGTTGTCGTGAAATGCTCCTTGTGCCGCTTTTCATGAGAGTCGCGGAAAAGGCAGAATCGGTTTCTGATACAGCGAATAGAGAGTGAGAGTGAGTGTGTGTGTGTGTGTGTGTTCACTTACGCTGCTTCCCTGGAGCTCCTCTTTTCACACAGACCTGACCTAGTACGTGGGATGGGCATGTTGTGGACTGCACAAGTTCGCTTTTGTTAGACTTCGCAAGTGCTGGTGCGAGGAGAGGTTTTGCAGCACTTCGCAGCTTCCGAGCGGCTTCGACACAGCATCGTGTGCACTGCCGGATCCTAAGATGTCAAAACCTTGGAGGCCGCATAGCTGACGCACACGTAGACGCACTGCGCGCGAGCATGCGCAAGCATAATTGAGGAATCTTGAGAAGGTCTGTGCTGCCGTCATTTGAAGCTATGCCAGTGCACGCTAACAAGTCATTTGGGCCGGATGTTTTTTGAAGTGCTCATCTCAAACCAGGACTCCATATTGATCATTTTGACGCTTGTGAGTTGAGAGGGTCTCTTTGACATTGGGTCTTGACAGTACACGTCGACTGGCCAAGGGCATCTGTTGGCGAGGCGTGCTTTGTGTGTCCCTGTCGCAGTAAGCACGCTGTGTGTTCTTGTGAAGTTCTTTGTTCTTGGTTACATCTGACCTCGCGCCATGGAAGATGTATGTTTTTGAGTTCAGAGCTAAGGAGATGTCCCTTTGGGTATCTTCCAGCTGAATCCTTGTATGTGTGTGCAGCGGATGGCTCATTTCTAGGTGCGCTGTGTATGCTGTTTGCAGCACAAAATCTGCAATGCAATGCATCTTAGTCTCCACTCTTGCTTGGCAAGCTTTGGCATGGGCAGGCTTTGAACCAACTTGCGAACTGGCAGACTGCAGCCTGAGTTTGGCGAGCAAGGCAACCGATGGCAGCAGGAACTTCTCCGACTGTTCTGGTATCAGGGCGATGAGCGCGTGCACCGTTCCATGCGCATATGGTTTCCAAGGGGATGCATCAACATATTCTTGCCTACCAGATGGCACCCTACAAGGATCGGAATCCAACTCCCTCTGCGCACGGAGGACATGCAGCATCCCTGATGCTTTCATGGACCCGAGCTTTGGATTTGGAAGAGCTTGTTTTGGAATCCGCCACGGTGAAGCCTGCCTGGCTGCGTGCAATGCCGGCTTTTCTGGGTTGTCTGAGCCCTTTGTGTGTGACAATGGCTCTTTGCATGGATCAGTTCCAAAGTGCACTGGCTTCGTATGTTCTCTGGAAGGTGTGTGGCTAGAAGAAGGCATGAATGCCAGCGACTGCGTGGGGAAGAGCACCCTGGAGACATGCTCGATACAGTGTCGGCGTGGATATTCGAGACATGGCAGTCCAGAGATGACTTGCCAAGCTGACGGAAGGTTCACACAGCACGAAGTGAGATGCCTTCCAAAAGCTTGTGGAGATTTGTCTGCGGTGCCTTCATTCAGTGCTGCTTCAATCGGAAGCTCCTGTGCCGGGCTTGGCTTTGGTGAGATTTGTTCTGCATTCTGCCAAGAGGGCTTTGACTTGCAAGGAAATGCAACCGTCTTGGTCTGTGACGATGCACCAAGTTCTAGTGCCGGTTTCTCAGTGTACTTTGAAAGTAACGCTAGCTACCTGCACGCCATTGAAGCTGACGGTCCACTGTGTCAAGCACGGCCTTGCACAGCCAACCTGCCAAATCTTCAAGGGCTTCTGCATGACTGCGAAGGAAAAAGAACTGCTGAGACATGTATTGTGGAGGCTGCTGCAGGCTACCACTTCTCTGCGGAGCTGGCAATGCCTGTGACGCTCACTTGCCAACCGAACGGCAGTTTTACGGGTGACATACCTCCGATCGTGTCAGATAGCTGTTCCGAAACACAGTTTGGGACTGGTGTCGGCAGCACTTGCACAAATATTCCAGTGGATGCTGGATGCTGGGCTTATTGTGAGAGCGGATGGTCTGGTCTACCCAGAGAGTACCATTGCCGCCTGAACCCTGCTGCAGATGTTTTGGAACTTCAAGCCGTTCAGGGGGAAATCAACTGCACTTCGACCGTCCGACGCTTGGACGTGTCAGATCCTGGAACATGCAATGATCTCAATGAGCTTGCGGCCACAGCCGGGCAACGTGGCAGCACAGATTGCCACGCAAGAGGCCGCGCGTGCATCTAGTATCAACTAGCGCTTCGCTATGCTTTGCTAGTACCTGTTTGTGTCCGCTGTGCCTTTCGCAAGTAAGGTTCCTGCCGCATTTCAAGCATTCCTGCAACGAGATGATGCATGGAGATGTATGTGTTGTTCACTGCCGCGAAGGCGTGGATCATGAGCAAGCGCGTGAACTGCGTTTTTTTTGCTGAAGGTTGTTCCTCTACCTAAACCTTAAACCCTAAACCCTCAAAGCTCTTAAGCCCTAGAAGCCTTAACCCTGAACTCGAAAGCACGAACCCTAGCACTGCAAATTTTCACCCTACAATCCTACCCTCTAAGCCCTAAACCCTCAACCGAAAAACGCAAGAAAGCGTTTAGCCAACCTAAACCCCTCATTCCTTACTTCGAACATCCACACTCCAACACAACGCGGGGTTCTTTTGCGAGATTCTCTGGGGTAGTCCGAATTCTCTGGGAGAACTACTCTCTGCGAAACTGCGAAATTTTCCGGGGCTTGGGCACTCCGGGGATGCGGGCCGAATCTTCACTGGCTTCGCCAGCGATTCTCCTCTGTGGGAGACTTCCTTTTCCGCGGGAAAGACTTCTCTCTGCGGGGCCTCTCAAGGACGCTCTAACTTTTAACTGAGATTTTCTGAGTGGGATGCTCTGCAGATGATTGTCTGCCAAACCCCCCCCTCTGTAAGGGGAGTCAAGCCCAAAACCTTTAATAAAAGGATGCTGATATCTTGTAGCCGACAACCCAGAAAACCCTGCAAAACTGAGCAGGGTAAGCTTAAGAACGAAGAAATGACGCCGGTATCGCCCAACAAAAATCAGCCACAAAAGCATCCCGAAAAAGCACAGCAGGCAATTTAGATCAGTATTCCTGCTATTGTACATGGGCTTAGGGTGCAACTACTAGCAGCACTTGCGAACCAGTAGAACTCAAATGTGCACTGGCTTGTGGAGGCTGGGAGATGGTAGAGCTGCAGCCGACTCTGATCACTTGTGAGAACTCTTCTTTGATTGGAGGCCCCCTTTCCTTCACTGTTTCACATTCAGCATTCCTCTGTGCTACAGTGCGTACGTGATCGGACGTGCGTGCGTGCGTGCGTGCGTGGGTGTGTGTGTGTGTGTGTGCCGCACGCGCAGCGTGTGTGCGCGTCCTTGCGTGCGTGCGTGCTTGTGCGGGTGGGTGCGTGTGTGCGCGGCTGCGTGGGCAGGTGGGCGGGTGGGCGGGCGGGTGGGTGTGTGGGTGGGTGGGCGTGTCTGACACAGAGTTTGTGTGTGTGTGTGTGACTGTCTGACACGGTGTGTGTGTGTGTGTGTGTGTGTGTGTGTGTGCGTGCGTGCGTGCGTGCGTGCGTGCGTGCGTGCGTGCACGCCGGTCACAACTCACATTGACATCGCTCACATCAACATGCCGGTTGGCACGGCCTGTGAGCGTGAGAAGTCTGAGAAGACTTTATCTCCGGTTCCGTTCTTGAGGACCTCTACCGCGATGCCTTCCAAAGCGTTGCAGCTTTGCTTTTCCGAACACTTTGGGCATCAGATCCAATTGCAGTGAAGCGGTGACGGGCGAGTACTGCCTCGCCACCTGCGAAGAGGCTGGGGTAGGGCAACTGAGACAGCGCTGTGCAAAAGCCTGGTCCTGGTAGACGTGTCTGATGACGGGGGCTGATGACAGGGGCCGCAGCTCTGAGAGGACATGGGTTCACCATGTTACAGCCGAACTTTGGAAACTTACATCAACAACCGGACACTCCGAACAACGAACATCGAAAGTCAAAGGCTGAGGCGGCTGAAGCTGACACAGTTTGACAAAAGGCTGACAATACCCATTCAAGCATCAAACAAGTTGAAGCATCTTGCAGCCCCCTCTCGAAGCCCAAGTCCTACAGAGGACCCTCACAGCAAGGGCCCTGTGGAAGAGGCCCCCTGCACAGCACAGAGATCATCAGAGAGCTACACAGTGGTACTAGGCAGAGCGGCAGACCTGAAATCATACTTCAGGGAATCTTCAGGGCTCTGAGGTCAGATGATGTCCTCAACCTCACAAGGCCCTTGCACAAGACTCAAGGTCCCTAAGCACACCAGACATTTAGCGTCTCCGCGAATTACTTGTTATTACTTGTTATGTATGTCGTAGATGGTCGGGGTCTTCATGCTTCGGGTCAGCCAGGGTGTCAGCGTTCGAAAGCGCAATGTTGAAGAAGTCTGCACCTTTTTTCGCGCAGCGCAGGGGTACTTCTCCACACTGGAAGAAGGAGGAGGAGATGGCGGAGATGGAACAGAGGGAGAAGATATTGGGCTCTTCCTGTGCACGGCAGCGGGCTCCTTCCACGGCGGCTCGGAAAGAGTCTTCTGAAGGCTCGTTCCCAGTTAGGTGCCTCACTCTCGGCCTCCCTCCCTCTGCCTCCCTCTCTTCTCTCCGGGGGTATTTTAACTTTTCAGCAGAAGAGATGCTTTGAGCATCGAAGGGAGTTGGAAATGCGGGAAAGGACTGCTGCCTTGACATCTCCCATCTTTCAGCTCTAAGGCAGAAGTCCGGATTGCAGGCGTCAGTCTTGTGCTGACCTCGAGTTGCAAACTACCTTTCAGCACAACTGCCACGACAAGGCAGGGCCGGCAGGGCCGAAGATGTTTCATGGGTTGACTTGCGCTGTACTACGCTGTACTGCTCTGTACTGGTACTGCTCTGTACTGCGCTGTACTACGCTGCACTGTGCAGCTGTTATTTCTATTTGACAGAACAAGCGCGCCTTGAACTCAGACACCACACGGTAGCTTTGCATTCTCACACCCCCCCGATCTCGCCAAGCCTCGGACACTAAACCGACCATTCAGACCACTTTTCTATGGTCTATGTGCCGTGAATTCGGAACCATTCTCTGTTAGACATTAAGAGTAAGTAGATATTGTAGGGTCACTCCACGGAGAGAGGACCTGTGTTATGACCTGTGCAGGTCGTCGGAGAGACCTGCGTTGTGACCTGCGCAGCAGGCTTCTACTTTGGTGGCTGGGGCGCACTATTTACCTGCGATGCCGGTGGATCTTTTCGCGGGGAGTTACCTTTTTGTCAACCTGCTACCTGCGAAACGCTGTCAGATGATGCAACCCTCGTCTCCAAATGCTCTTCTGCAGCGACGGGTGAGAGCTGCAATATAGCATGCAGGCCAGGATTCTATCAGAATTCATCAGCTCTGACGTGTGACGTCACCGGGAATTTGGTGGGGCAGCTTCCAATTTGTCGACCGAAGACGTGCGCAGCAGACCCAGTATTGTTCAGCACCATGTACGACCACAACTGTGTGGCTCTTCCTGTCGGCCGGTCATGTAGTGTAGTTTGTGCCGGCGGTTATGAATCGGATGAAGGTGAACAAGGTGAGCAGTGGCAATGCGCACTCAATGATGCAAATCAGTCTGAAGATTCTGAACTGGTGCTCACTGGAAGACTTCCAAGCTGTCGTCCTGCGGCCTGTCATTCCGGCTATCCACTTCAAACCGCCGCTGCAAGAAACAACTGCACCCAGATGCTTACTGGTCAGATTTGTGTACAAAGCTGCGCTGATGGATATCTTCCAAGTGCGACCATCGTGGACACATTCCGCTGCAATCCTGACGGTATTCTGACCTCCATCTCCCACACAGTCTTGAATTGCCTTTTGACCGCATTGAGACGGTGTCTCTTGTTGGTTGGCTGTGGCTGGAGAAAGCTGGAGAATCTGCAGCCGAATAAAGCTGTGTGTTGGGGTGTTCATGTCTGTGCTGTACAGGCCGAGCGGCGACTTGCAACCTGACAGATCTGACGTTTGTTGTGCCGGGCATAGCGACCACTTGTGCTGGTGTGCTTTGGCTGCATCCAAGCTACCGGAACCCCAATTGAGGGATGCGATTGGCACACCGAGTCTCCCTACCAAGGGTGAACAAACACAGATTCACAGATTTGTCCAAGGAGGTGTTCATGCATAGTACCCCGACGCAACCCTTGCAACCCATCAAACTCGAAGAAAGCCCAGAAAGCCCAAACCGGATCAGCTGCATAGGATCGCATAGCCATTGGTGGACACAGGCTATTGCAGACAAGCGGATGTACAGCCCTTTGTGCACATGCTTCGAAGCACACGATCGACTCACACGCCATCGCCCAAGGCCCCTGAATTGAGAACCATATCGAACCATGCCAGAATCCTAGATGTTGTCCAATCTGAACCTTCTGCCTTGCTTGACTTCGCTCGTTGACCAGGAGATTGCGATGAACACCAGCTGCTCCGCATTTTGCTCTCCAGGCTTTACTTTGAAAGGTCCAGTACAACATTGGAGTTGTACTGGGCCGGACAGCCACTTTTCTGCCGTTAGGTACACGATGGTATGCGCAGCCGTGCAGCAATTGCAATGAGCATGGCATGGAGCATATCTCGCGAATGCGAAGGTGAACTGCCAGCCTTGTACGGCAGCGACCAGGAACCGGCTTGTCAATGGCCATGATCGCACATTCTTTGTGCGATGCAATACTGGATAGGCTAGTTTATGTAGGTGGTGCCGAGCATTCGAGCCGCGAGTCGCGCCTGTCGAGGAGGTTACACTGCGGGGACATTTTCCTGTAGCTTGCATGCAGTCGTATGGCACCGGAGCTTCCAAGCAACATCCTTGCAATTTCGTTCATGTCAAAGCAATCATTGCACAAGTCTCAAGTTGTCAAGGCTTGCTCGCCAAACACGTGCGCCTACAACATCCCTTGGGAGATCGCATATGACCACAACTGTTCGGCAGTACCGATTCATGGCCTCATAGGGTCACAGGCTCATATGAGTCATATGGGGTCTGGGTAATTATGTCTGTGCAGTCGACATCTCTGGAAATCGGCATGTGCTGTCGACATTCCTTTTTTTGTTAAAGCTGACCCCAAACCCAGCCTAAGCTTTATGGCTTTGAAGATCTTTGAAGCTTTTTGCAGCTTCAGGTTAATTCAAGATTCCCAGGTGCTAGCGGCTTTCTGACCGGCCTCTGCTTCCCATCATAGGTTCATGTAGGTTCGTATATTGTCCACGGTCTTTCTTCTTGTGTGTGTCTCAGCTATAAACGCTTGAGGGCGTCGGAGCTTCTGGAGCAACAATATCGAGAGTACACTTCCGCCCGAAAGAATCGCGAAGCAAGCGTAAGGCAGAAGCAACGGGGGGTTTCATGTCGTGCAGAAGCACATCTGCATGCGTTATGTATCGTTATGTTTGCGCACCAGGTTTGCGCTTCACTGGATGCGAGCTCTCGCCTTTCCCGCATCTCGAAGGTTTCTCCCACGAACTGCATTGCTCATGACGCGATGGGTATCCCGTTGAGGCGTTTTACTCACTTCACCCACACACAACACCCCCGCAACGCCGCCTTCTCAAACAAGCCACTCACGCCTCTGTCACGACCCCATCACCGCCTCAATGCTGGCCAGCCCCCCCCCCCCCCCCGCTTCGTGCCTATTTGCGGCATCGCGGCCCCGTCACACCCCTCGTCACGCACGCCCCCCATCATGCCCCAATCACGGCACCTTCGTGCCTATATATCTTATATATCTCAACAAGAGCTCAACATCCGAGATGCTTTTGGCAAAAGCCAGTACGTAAGCAAAGCGAGTGAGCCAATGAGGAAGAGAGCGAGGAGAGGGAACACCTTTCCTCCCACGGTTCCAAGAAATGAGCCCTTGGGGAACGGCCTCGGGATTTGGACCAGAAGAAGTTTGGAAAATTCGGATTCTTGGGTGTTGTGTGCTGGTTGTTTACCTCAGAAGCAATGTCCCAAAGCGCTGGAGGGATGCATGCTCCGATTACTTCTAGGTACTGCTCCCATAAGCTACCGCAACAAGGACTGGTTCCTTCTGCCTGGCTGCTTGCCGTGGAGAGAGCAACAGCAGCATACTTCGTTGCTTCGAAGATGGCGCGCTGCTAGGCGACATGCCTCTTTGCCACAAGGTGCAGCGTTGGGGAAACAGGGGCAAGTTAAGCAGGGAACGGCACGCCGACATTCCATTATGTCCCTTCTACAGATCGAAAGAGATAGGTTTTCAGGTGAGCTCAAGGTTGGAACGCTTCACATGGTTTTGACTTCACTCTTCAAACCAGCCTGGCGCATCTCAAAAACCAATCTCAAGGCCAAACCTTTACACAGCCGCAATGTCAATGCATCCTTTCTGCATCGTGTGCTGCCATGTCGAGGCCAGATTGTTTCAATCTGCCACAATTTGTCAACAGGATCGGTGAAGCGTAAAGGGACTAAATGAGTCGGCAAGACGACCTTGACTACATTTGACTACCACAACTCTGGCGGCACGTGCAAATGGCTGGCCAGGCTTCTGATCTCCCCAGCATCGCGTGAGTGCACATGTCGAATCATGTCGAATCATGTCGAATCGTGTCGAATCATGTCGAATCTCATGCGAGTCTCCAGCAGTTTCGACCTAAACTAAAAACTCCCGAGGATGCCACCAGGTATGGCCAGGTGATTTAGGAGCCTGAAATAAGTGCAGAGCGACAGTGCAGAAACCTCAACAAAAACTGCAGCATGCTGTAGCATCATGTATCTTGCAGGGTGGATGCAAGGACTCAGGACCATTCCAGAGTCCAGGGAAATATGATGCGGCACATGAGCATTCGCAGACTACACGTTCAGCTGGACAGGAGGATCATAGGAGAAGACTCAGTGAGAGGGGTGCAGGCTTGGGAGGGAAGCTGGTCACAAGCTGGACGTCAGGTTTCACCGGCGTCCTAGTCACACTACGGATATTCGTGTTCTATTTGCTGCATGGCTCATGTAGGTTCATGTCGTAACGCAGGGTGATCTGCTGCGAAGCTTGCATTGCAGAGCCAGGTGCAGAGCTCGAGTGGAACCACCACCACGTCAATGCATACAGCCAGCCCCCAAGATGTCTGTCACACCTGAAGCCATTGTTGAGAGCAGCACAACTGGGTGCCGAGCCGAGACGACGAGCACGCAGTTCAACGTTCTTACAGGAATGCTGGTGGTCCAAGCGCATCTCTGCAGCAAAATATCTGTCCAGCAGTCCTGTGCTGTGACCTGGTGTGCTTGTCACTACCAAAACACGTCGATATTAGGTTTCAACCCCTTGTGCATGTTAGGAAGAGCGACATCTCAAGCGCAACAAATGTTGCTTTAGGCAATTTTAGGCATGGGTTCTCAGTTCTCAGCCAAGGAGTTCTCTGAGCAGCATGGCGGATCCAGAGGTCCGAGCAGGAGCGCGTTCGTGTTTGCATTGTTGGTGCATTGTCCAATATCCAAGGTGCAATGCAGCTCCAACATATCCAACAGTTCGATGCTGGCAGGTTTGATACGTGCACTGGCGCAACTTCTTCAAGTAGGCCCCGAAGTCCTGGAGCTGGCAGTCGAGCCGATTCAGGCGGCATTCCGTGTATGACGGGGCAAATTCGCCAGTCATGTAGCATGCTGTCGCTCAGGTTTGTTCTGGCTTCGTAGACGTGGATTGCGCGTGTAGCAACATGCTGCAAACATGTCCTTGACTGGCGCTGCAGATTGGTGCTGAGGGCAGTGCTGACCAAGCCGAACTTCATTTCAGTTCAGCGGAGAGTTTGACCGCAATGCAGCTGGACGAACTCCAGCGCAAGTCGTTTGCGGAGGCACAGCTGGATATGATGCGGTTGCGTAACCATGTGCCGCTTTGTCATCTTGTCTGGCAGTCAGGTCAGAGATGCCATTGCGGCGGAGCTCGTGAACACGGAGGCAGGTCTTGTAATCTGGGAAGTTGGTTGAAGTGGCTTCAATGAGTCAGAGTGCTCCCCTATCGAGACCTGGGACCGATGTGTTCCGATGCCCGATAACTGAAGAGCTATCAATTGTTTGTTGGTTGTTTTTCAGTGTGTTGCCTCCCTCTAGGCTGGCATAGATGCTGTGGGTCCTCTGGTGGTGACCGTTCGCCTGCCAAATGAGACCCTGGAAGTCATCATAGCTCCGCTGGGGGCTTCACGGCCGAAAGTTGCTTTTATCACTCGCCCAGTGGGGCACAACTGATAAACTGATAAACATGGGGAGAGTATGCTTGACATAAATTGCAACTTGTCAAACAAGTTGTCAGTTGTGCCCATGTTGGCTTGAATGGCCATGTCCAGAAGCTGAGGTAAGCCCTCCAGACACATTGCCGCCTCCTGGCTAGCCTAAGCCCATTCTCTCTGAGACCGTCTCGCTCTGTGTCTGGGCGGCCGGTTATGTCCTGGAGAAGCCAAGGTTAACAACTACGGTCAGTGCATCAGCAAGCCTCTTGCTGTGCTGCTGTGCTTGCGCAGGATGTTTCTGCAGATGCTTGGCTATAGCTACTCGTACTTGTGGGTTAGCTGCTTAGCTGAGTAGCCCGCAAAGACCGGTCGGATCTCTGAGACATGTGCCCGCCTGCTTCCATATTGGAAATCGGTATAACATCCCGTTTGTAGTTCATTGTAGTTATTCTTGTTTGAAGGCTTTTTCCGGAATCTCGTGAATCCCCCTGCCATCAGAGTTCGGTTTGAAAACGCGAGGATGTTCGGTAAGGATCTACCCTCCCGAGCACACGCTGGTCGCAACAACGCTGCAACAACCTCGCAATTTGCCTGTAATTAGGCGGCTGCGGGCTGCGGGGTCCGAACACACAGAATGGGAGGCGAATCAGTGCGCCGTTGCAAATCCAGTTTTGAGAAGCAATCCCTCAACCAGCCCACAGTGCCACCCAGCACGAAAACAACGTATGGACCCTCGAAAGCTCCATGAATCACCACGAAAAGTCACAAAAGCCGCCTGCAAGTCTCAGTGCCGCATCCTAATCATTTGTTTCTTTTTTCCCCACCCTCGGTGTGGGGTTGTTAGAATTTAAGCTCAACTCTTCTCGCCCGGTCTACTTCTTGTCGCCCGGTCTATTCGTGGCTCAACCCACCAACCCCAGAGTGTCCTTGGAGTGCCCGAGTGTGCCTGGGGTGCCCAATCCCAGACTGTCTCTAGCGTGCCCAACCCCAAAGTGCTCCTGGAGTGCCGAACCGCAGGAATGCCCAACCCCAGAGTCTCCTGGAGAACCCAAAGTCTCCCTAAAGTGCCCTGAGTCTCCTAGTGGAGTGCCCAACCCCAGAGTCTCCTCAGAGTGCCCAACCCCAAATGAGTGCCCAACCCCAGCGTCTCCTGGAGTGTTGGAGTGCCCCGAATCTTCCTGGAGTGCCCAACCCCAGACTCTCCCTGGAGTGCCCAACCCCAGAGTCTCTTCAGGGTGCCCAACCCCAGAGCATCTCTACCCAGAGAGGGTGGGGATGGTCGAAGTAAAACTGTTTGTGTGTGTGTGTGTGCGCGCTTCGTAGGTGAAGCGGTTCTCATTGGGCATCAGGGTGTTCAGGGCGTCGTTGTCCAACTCACATCCGATGACATCCGATGACGTCAGTGACCGTCAGTGGTCACCGTGTCCGGGCTGGAGTGGAATAGGGGCAATCCTCGCTCACAGCTGCATGCGCCGGCCCCGAACGGTGGATGAAGCGGCAGCATCCGCCCAGGAAAGATCAAGAAGTATAGTGGAACAAAGACGGCCCATCAACTCGGAGTGCGTGACCAGTTGCAGAAACCCTAGGACTGGTGCGCAGAGTGCGCTGTACCGGGAGGAGTGGGTTGCAGGACATATCATGAAGTCCACTGTATGCCAGAAGGGTCGTCCTAGTTGCCCGTCTCCGAGTCTGAAAGCGGTTCCGGCACCCCACGCGCTGACGTATTGACACCGATCGTGCATTCTGACAACGCTGTTCTCAGTAAAAGTGTTGTCAGCCAACTGCGAACCACAACTTGCTCACAACCACTGGGGCGCACTGGAGCAGAGGCCCGGCCAGCGCAACGGCCATCTCGACTCAGCTTAACGCAGCCTTTTTGAGCTTTCTCTTTTGAAAATGCTCAATCTGAGCCTCCAAATTTCGCTAGCCGCTAGTCACATCATGGCTGGGTCTGCGTGGCAGTATGCTGGCATCTGGCATGCAATGCCAAAGCTTGTCAAACGTTCTGATGTTCCAAGGACAACGAATGCGCCAGGCACGGTCTCTGCCATTGCACTTGATCTCGGTCAGAAACAACATCCACTCCGAATGAAACATTCGAGACGTGCTCGCACTGCTGGTCAAACTCATGCCGATGCTGTAAGCCTTTGTCATACACCATCTACCTTTGAGCGAGAGCGATGATGTTGTGCAGGTCGCGGAGGGCAGCGGCTGCTCTTGTTTGTGTGCTGGTGTTCCGTGGCGGCAAGTACTGACCAGACACTTTCGAAGCTATTCTGGATCTATGAGTATGCGAAGCAACATGAAGGAACGCAAGAATCAAAAGGTCTGGATTGTCCAGATCTTCAGGGACTGGTGTCAGCCCAGAAGTCAAGCATCCGATATCTGGTTCAGTGACTTTCAGTGGCTAGTAAAGTCCCGGCCAGGCTTCCGATGATCATGCCGCCTCGTCAGAAGTAGCCAGTGATATGCAGACATCTGTTGGTGAGGCAGGCTATCGTTGGTGAACTTGCCAAGTCCTTCTTCTCACAGTAGGTATGTCAGGTTGCAGAACAGCTGTAAGATGCTGTAACTAGGCATAACTAGGCCTAGTTGTCCGGTTTGATCCGGTTTGATTTGGTTGCCCATTCAAACTCGTTGATCCGTCGAGCGTCGAGAGTTTCCGGGCCCTGGCCTGGCACGCTGCGCAAAACTGGCCCTAAATTGCCTCAAAGCTCAATCTCAGAGTTCGAGCATGAGCATGTGCCAACAGTTGTACGGGGTGGTCTGGTGGCCACTACGCATGGAAGCTGTACGCTGTTTCCCAACGCTTGACTGTGGGGTGCAAAGGCCACCCACATGAAGGGAGACAAAGGGAGACAAAGGGAGACAAGACGCCCAGGAACCCGGCAAAGGCGACCCGCATTAAGGGACACAAAGGGAGGCCCACACCTGCATGAAGGGAGACCAAGGGAGACAAAGGCAGACAAGACGCCCAGGAACCGGCAAAGGCCAAAGGGAGACAAAGGGAAACAAAGGAACACAAGACGCTCAGGAAGCCGGCAAAGACCACCCACATAAAGGGGACAAAGGGAGACAAAGGGAGACAAGAAGCCCAGCAACCCGGCAAAGGCCACCCACATGAAGGGAGACAAAGGGAGGCAAAGGGTCACGGGTTTCCTGGAGAGAGCAGGCTGTCAAAAGTCTGTGTGCGCTTTTGCCTGCCCACAGGCGACATCGGACAGCTGGGACTGGGAAGATGAAGGCAGCACATGGAGTGGTTTGTGAGCTACTTGCTTCTTCGACTCGATCTGAAGTATACTAAGAAAGGCACAAGCATCGGCTGGGCTGCATTGAATAACGCCCTTTCGAGTTGGTTCACTTGGCACGCTCTGTGTTTTTGGGCGCATCTTGTGGCTGCTGACTGCGTCGTTCTGCCTCAAGCTCTATCAAGATAAACGCAGCTCACTGGAACAGGTGTCACGCGCACACTACCTCCAAGTCGAGAGGTGACTGCAGGCACCTCCACGTATTCAGCCCGGCAGGTGTGGCAGTTCTAAGATGTTCTACATGAGTCCGATCATAAGTTCCAAACAGTTCCTGCATGTTCCTGTGTGTTCCTGCAGCATGCCGGCTTGAGTTTGGGAGACGGAAGACGGATGGGGACATGGATACGGCATGTGCTGAGCAACCAACGACTGCTGCCAGCCATGATTGGGCTCCATCACCTTTACTCATACTGCTAGATTCTAACTAGATATGATAGTGTCCTTGCTAAAAGGCTGTTAAACCCATTTGCAAACCCTGTCACCCCAGAGCCGCTTGAGAGCAAGTTCGCCGAGAGGTGTGGCTTTACCAAAAATTTTTTCGGGGATCCTGAGTTGTTGTGTGAAAAACACCCCGTCTGCACGGCCAGCCTTCCCATTCTGCGCATAGCTCCAGAATGGTTGAAAAGAGCGGTTTCCAGGCCGATTGGAACCAGTGTAAGTTTCAACTTTAACGAAACCTAGCTGACGGTGGTTCCACGGGACTTGCGCGAGTGCATCGATTCCAACAGCAGTCTCCCGGGACTTGCTCGGCGATCCAGTGACCCGGACTTTGCATGCCCCATGCCCTCATGCCCCAAAAAGACTTCTTTAGACCGCAATTCAAAAACCCTAAGCGCTACTCTGTTTTCTGACTGGCAGACATGAATTCACATCCCGCCCTGTTGAACGAAGCGTGCAATGATTGGAGGTATCTCTTCATTGGTCATGTCCGCTGCGGGGTCAGGACAAGCTGCCGAACCCTCACGCTTGCAGCAGTATTAAATACGGCCTTCTCACATCAGTTCCGTGAATTTGCAGGATGTCCAACACGTAGCCCTACCACCAAAGATCTGCGAGACACAGCAAGCAACTGCTACTCAGCTGAGATTAAAGTTTGTTTTGAGTCTTCTGATTGTGCTGCCTTGCAAGTCTTCCAGCATGCTCTTCGACTCTTGCCTAGATGACACTGGGCTGGGAGTGCTACATGGAGAACACGCTGAGGCACCAGCCGAGTCTGTGTACTGCTTGATTTTTCCCCACCCTCAGTGTGGGGTTGCTAGATTTTAAATTCAACTCTTCTCCTCGCCCGGAACTCTTCTCCTCGCCCGGTCTACTCCTCGCGCATCCCCGGAGTGCCCAACCCCAAACTGTCCCTGGAGTGCCCAACTTTAGAGTGTCCCTGTCCCTGGAGTGCCCAACCCCAGAGTCTCCCTGGAGTGCCCAACCCCAGTGGAGTGCCCAGAGTCTCCCTGGACCAGAGTCTCCCTAGAGTGCCCAACCCCAGAGTTTATCTGGATTCCCAAACTCCAATGTGCCCGAATTGCCCAACCCCGGGTGTCCCCGGAGTGCCCAGCCCCAGAGTCTCCCTGGAGTGCCCAACCCCACTCTCCCGGAGTGCCCAGTGCCCAAGCCCAGAGTGTCCCCGGAGTGCCCCGCCCCAGTCTCTACCAGAGAGGGTGGGGATGTTCGAAGTAAAAGTATTTGTTTTTTTTTTGCTATGTGCCATGTGCAATCGTCTGCGGGCTGCCAGCCTACCTTTCATTACCAGGGCTCTTGGGTGATGTGAACTTCTGTGGTTCTTTTTGCATGCACGGGCAGCCCGCCTGGATGGTGTGCACCCCCCAAAACACTCGTAAGCTGTTGGCGTGCATGCCAGTAAGGTGCTCCAAGAGGGCACTGGCCAAGTCTCGAAAGAGCATCTCTCAAAGGATGAAACCTGCACGACGGGCATTGTGACTCAGCTACACTCCCCTCCATGTGCTGATCGCGAGATCGGGTTCAGGATGATTGAGCTTGTACAAACGCCGAAGTCACAAAGAGCATGAGGACTCCCGAGTACTCTTTAGGATTTTCTAGCACCCTTCAGCACTCTTTAGTACTCTGTAGTACTCTTTCGGTTTCACTAGAAACTAACTTCAGTCATGTCATGTCACGTCCACCACCCTCCTTCTGCGGTGCAGGATGCAAATGCAACAGCCCAGAAGCTCGAGGCCATTGGGGACAACATTGAGGGATGCGGAGGGCATCCTTGACTAGATTGGTTCCTGGAGCATCTTCGTTTTGGCCATGTTGTGCACGCATCTCAAAGTGTCAAAGTGGTCGTTTCGATTGAAGGGGGTTGCAAAGAGATGAGCGCGATGAGCGCAGAAGGTGGAATCCCATACAAGTGCCACGCCCAATGCAGGCATTGGTGCACGGCGTGGGTTTTGAGGAGCCTTTGGTTGAGAGGCTTGCAGATGCAGGCGGGAGTCCCGTGACATGGGTGCAAGTGACTTAAGTGAGAACCAGACACCTCCAGACACTGAGGCATCTACTTGCAGGAATGGGAAGAGCGGGATGGCGATGATGGCGAAGATTGGACCCCAGAGTGCCGTTTGGCACTTGAAGATGTCGGAGTGTACTATGATGAAGAGGCGCTCAGGCTCCAAACTGTCGAGTACACGGCAGTGCTGCATTCTGCTACCCTGTCCCTGCCAGGCAAGCACTGATCCCCAAGCATGGGATGGAAGGGCAGCCTCTGGAAAGGAGTTGTCGTGCAAAATTATGTTGACTGTTTGCTGTGTCTGGCTCTGTGGTCCTCTTCTCCTGCTGTTAAAGGACACTGACCCTGAGCCCAATGAGATTGCAATGTTGAAGAAAAATCTCAAGAAAAATGTCAAGAAAATGCTAGAGCAGTAGTGCGCGTATAAATGAATGAATAAATACATCTGTATATACATATATACATATACATATACAAGTATGGAGACGGGCCTTCAGCAACATCTGCATGTGGGAGTTCCCAGGGTGCTCCACGCTGCTCCACCAAGAGGCAATGCTCTTCTGGAGCCTGGTCCAAAATGGCAACTGGACCCTCGATCCCCTGCCCAGAGACGCATTCATCTGCCTTAGCTCTTGACCATCATGTGCGTTCTCTTCACCTCTTCCCCTTGGCGACCAGAAGTCATCTGCCAGCTCCACTTCCCTGCCGATCGGCGCCATGACCGCACCCGGTGGGGTTTACCTCGGTGAAGGCAGCGGAGCCCACGGGCCGGCAGGCCATGGTTGCCGAAGCAACGCTTCCGCACACGTTGAAAAACGACGGAGCATCAATACGAGACCGGGGCCTCTTTCTGTGGAAGAGCTCCCCTGTCGACCACGACATCGAGGGGGGATCCCCATGACAAGACGGTTTCCAGGAAGCGCTCATGCTCAGAAGATGACATCCTCTTCTGGGACACGGCAAGTCGACTCGATGACCCGAACCTGTCCGCTTGAGCAAAGACAGCAATTGCACATCGCACCAATCGCCATACAAAGCACGCTTGTCTTCAGTCTCCTGGATGCCCCATCGTGGCCAGATCTGTCCAGTAGCACAAACAGCACGCTACCATGCCTAGAACGTTGTCAAACATCCTGGTTTTGATGGCAGATCTCGAGACTCGAGAACGGACCATTCATCCTGATGACCGTTGTCGTATTCGCCATGTTCGATACTCATCCAAACCCGTAACTTAACCCTGCCCTAGCTTCACACAAATTTGACTTTAGGGTGCGTGTTACAAGATGCGTGGCAGTTTGACAAAGCAACATGTGATTAACCCACGGTTACCCAAGGCCTTCACGGGTACGGAGCGTGTCTTTTTGAACTTCCGAAAAATTCTGGAAACAAAGCTTTGGCGAACGTGTGAGGTGAGTGCTGACAAGTGCTTCACAGTGTGGACGATTGTGCAGCTATGACCCGCTGCTCGGACAAACTCTAACTCACTCCGCTAGTAGCCTACACACATCGCCTCCACAGGCAAAAATGGCGTCCTATTGTGTGCTTACTTCAGCGGGTTCCGCAGCATCGATTCACTGAACTAGAGCGAGTTTCGCTGAGCCGGTTGCAGAGCCTTTCAATCCCAAATCGTCAGACGCAAACGACGGTTTTTTGCGGTGGCACGCGGTGGCAAGCTGAGAGCAGGGCGTCGCATCTTCCTTCAGCAAGATGCCGTGGCTGCAGAGGGCGTATCTCCTCAAACAAAACCATGAAAACCTTGAACTTGAACCTGAAATCTTCTAACCCCTAAGCCGGACCAGAGTTTGGAGCCTGCCCAACACTGGAAATTTGTATTTTCGAGCATGTGGCGTTGCTGAAAACTGATGAAATTTTGTTCTTGTGAAGCTTGTGAACAGGCAGGCCACACAGAGCCAGACGTAGCAAAAACAAAAAACAACACTTGCCAAAACAAGCTTGCCCAAGCTGCTGCGTGACAGTGCACCTGCCCTCCAGGTGGGAAGGGCTAGCGTGGCCGATTCCAAGCTGGCACGCTGCATTGATGAAGGTTTGTTCGAGGTCTGAGTTTCCAGAGTCACACTGCATGTGCGGCACAGCCCGCTGTAGCTAGGAGTAGTTCGGAACTAGCAAGTGAACTTCATTCATTCGTTTTCGCGATGTGACCTGCAGCCACTTGTCGAGTTTGTTGGTTGAACAAGCATGTTACAAGAGAGCCGAAGGGCACTTGCTACTGTTACAGGTACTATACGACTCAAGGTCTTAATGTGCCGCCCCAGCAGCTTCGACAAAAGTCCTAAGATTGCTGTGCTGTGACGGGCCCTTGTCTAAGTAATGTTCCCAGCAACCGTCCACAAAAACCATGCACATAGTCATGTTGCTATATTGTGAGCGATTGACTTTAACTCGCATGACTCATGACAATCAGTTTCTCGTTTTCTCGTTCCGGGCAGTATTGGAAGCCCGCAAGCAAAACGATGCCATTTCAAGGGCTGTAATTGAGCAATCGGGCTTCCAAAGCATACGGTAGTTCGATTGGGCTTCGCGACTAGTCGCATGTAGGGCACCCTTTGACCTCTGTTTCGGAGTTTTGGTGCGCAATACTCTTGGAACAGTCATGATGGCGTTTTGACCCGAAAGTGTCTGTGTTAGGCATTTCTGCACAGTTTCTGGGGAGGGCACTTGAGCAGGAAAGTCCTGTCAGGATGCTGAAAGCACCTGTCGAGCCCAGGTTGCCGGGCAGTCATTCATGCTGAGATGCAGAGGAGATAGTTGCACGATGTTGCACGGAATCCGCACAATAACGTCAGACTCAGGCTGGGAACAGCTATCATCCTCTTCTTTTCCGTGCCCTTCAGGGCGGCAAGATGTCAAGATCAAAAGTGCCGAATGCACTTAGGCATTTTTGCATTCAACAAGGTGTGAGGTTCAGACTTCAAGCGGGGAGATGGGAATGACCGGTGTGCCTTTGTTCAGCACACAATGTGCGCACACAGGTACCGTTCTCATTGTGGGTTGGGAACATCCCTGAAGTACAACGGCATGGTCATGCAGGTTCTTTAGATGTCCTGCCTAGCCGACACTCTGATGCATCAGTAGATGGAGCAACGGTTTCCCATGTTAAAGTACACCTGTTGAATAGATCAGTGTCAATTCCATGCTCGACCTTGGTTTTCGGAATTATATAAGGCGGCGAAAACTCATTGATTGCCGAGGCACAGTCTTCAAGCTTGGTCATTCCTTGTTGCATTCGCCGAGTTGCGTGTCAGGTTGTGTTTTTCGCTCTCCGTGTCTTGCTCCAAAACTTGCGCCATCTTGCGCCACACTGCGGCCAAATAGCTCGGTGACGGCTGCTGGGATGAAGCGGCTTGTCCTAGGTGACTCGACATGAACCCATCCCTCATCTGGACTCAGCTCACGAGTTTGAACGTGGTTTCGCATGCGATACTTGCAGCCCTAAGTACGAATGAAGTGCAAATAAATGTACCGGCGCCTATCCCACTTCCTACCTACCCCCATCCAGCTACACCTGCCTACACCTACCTTCACCTGCTTACTACCTACCTCATGCCCCTTGATAGAGAGAGAGCGAACGAGAGCGAGAGAGAGAGAGAGAGAGACAGAAAGAAAGAAATAAATAATGAATGAAAGAAAAAAAGAAAGAACGGAAGAAAGAAAGAAATAGAGGAAGAAAGAAAAAAAGAAAAGAATAAACAAAGAAACAAGGACACAAATACACAAAGAACCACAGACGCAAAGAAACAAAGAAACAAAGAAACAAAGACACAAAGACACAAAGACACAAAGACACAAAGACACAAAGACACAAAGAATCAAAGAAACAAAGAACGAAACAAGGAACGAACAAAGAAAGAAAGACAGCAATAAAGAAAGACAGCAAGAAATAAAGAAAGAAAGAAAGAAAGAATAAACGCAAGAAAGAAAAGAGAGAGAGAGAGAGAATCAAAGTTGATTATTGTTTGTATTCGGTGGCTTTTCTTCCGGGGGAAGCAGCCAACCATCATAGTATCACAACTCAAGGTAAAGGGACCAACAAGGAACCCGACGTGTCACACTGGACAACGGACTCGGGCGCGCGTGCGCGCGGGGGAGGGGCTAGTGCCCCCCTCAAGCCCAGCAGAAGAAGAAGAAAAAGAAGAAGAAGAAGAAGGAGAGAAACCACAAATGTCAGAAACAACGAACTAGAGAGAGAGAGAGAGAGAGAGAGAGAGAACATCGGACATCACGCGCCCCTGGGGGCATCCTCCCTTCGGGGGGGTCATTTGTGGGGGAGAGAGAGAGAGAGAGAGAGACAGAGAGAGAGGAAGGAAGGAAGGAAGGAAGGAAGAGAGAGAGAGAGAGAGAGAGACAGCGGGTAAGAAAATGAGAAAGGGCGATCACGAGAGATGGAGGGAGTAAGAGAGCGAGAGGGAGGTAGAGCTAGTGACTAGTGTTGTTGAGCAAACCAGCGAACTAGTTAGATGAGTGGCGTTTTTTTCTCCAGATAAGGCGGTGTACAGATAGGCAGATCACTGCAGACAGGTCAATGGATGGCTCGGTGGGTAGGGTGGGTAGCTAAATTGATGACTGATGGATGAATGGACCGATGAATGAATGAAGCGTTTGATGAGCTGATGATTCGGCTGATGGTTGGACATCCTCAAAAATACAATTCCCGAATCCTTCGTAAATCCTGGAAAGGTGCACTTCTGTTTTTCTTGCACCTCGCAGCCGGGGTGGAGCGGCTGGAGCTGGAGTCGCCTGTGCCAGAGCCGCACAATTGAACTCTTCTAACTCCACAAGCCATTTAGCCTTGGTGCAAAACGTTCTCCATGCGGTATGGAGAACGTTTATGTGGCCGATAAGCAGCTCGGTTGCCAAGAGCTCCGGACATCCTGATCATTTGCAAATTGGAGCACTTTAATCTTCATCGATCTTTGTCGTTGCTCCCTGCAAATCGTCATCCTGCGCAGTAAACGATGTCTCCAATTCACCCCCCCCCCCACCCCCCCGCCCTCCCTCCCCGTCAAACATGTGTAGGCTGCCCATGCCACTCTGAGAACACGTTTCCCGTTGTGCTATAAGTTGCATGACCTGAGGCCACTTTCGGCCGGGTGGACCAACGCTGTAGGCCGCTGATCAAGTCGCACGGTTCCTGCGCCCTGCAGACAGGGATGAGTTCTTTGAGTGGATCCACTAGAATTTTGTTCACTCTGAGCTGGGCGGCGTGGGTCTAGGCTCTGGGCAACTTGTTTTGTCGTAGTGCAGTGCTTCAGGCGTTCATTTACTTCAGTTTCTGCAAGGGGCTTGCCTTCTCAACTGTACATATGTACTCGTAGGTTCCGGCATGTTGTGATGTACGCGATGCTGACCATGTTGCACCCGGCCATTTGCGGTCTCTCTTGGCGACCGTGCTGATGTGGGTGGTGATGTTGGTGTCGCTGATGCTGTCATGCTGTTGGTGCTATTGCTGTTGTTGCGGTTGCGGCTGTAATGATGCAGTTTGGATGAAGCATGATGGCACGATACGCCATGTTGGTACTATGGCTAAATTCCACGTCAGAGCGACTCATTGTGTGCGTGTGTGTTTGCATAGTATTCTTGGCTGCGATATGCCATTGCACAGCGTGTTAGCAAACTGGTAGTAGTGTCTTCGCCGTAGCCAAGTCATGTTTTTGCGAAAGCTCCCCCCTCAAGCTTGAGGGTTGCCTTTCGTGGCTTACCCCGCGTAAGCTGATCTGTACTAAAGGGATTTAGGGTGGGTTAGGGGGGTACCCCAATTTGGCAGTAACAATCGTTTGGGGGGCTGGGTCCGCTGGAGCCATTTTTTGAGCGGTTCACGGTGGTGGCCCGGCAGCCAATTTTTGGAGAAACGAAGGCGCCCGCTGATGCTGCTGATGCGCGGGTCCTTGTGTTTTTGGAGGGGGGAGGGGGCTTTGGGGAGCGTTCGGGCCCGTAGCCGGCGTTGGGATTGCCCATCCACATGGTGACCGTTTCTGCGCACGAGCTACCGTTTTGGAGCCCTGAAATGGCCTCCCCTTGAACCATTGAAAGCTCCGTTGGCTTACTCCCTTTCGGAGCAAAGCTTTCGTCCCCTCCCCTTTGGGCGCAAGGTAAGTTCCAATCCCAAACAAAGGGCAACATTGTGGTACAGTACGAAATCATCCGGTACAGTTGCCCGCCTGAGCTTCCCTGGCCTGCTTATTGAGAGGCTCAGGCTATTGTTTGCACTCAGTAGGCGGCTCCGTGGTTGATGCCTCATGCATGATGTGCCCGGATTTTGACAGGCTCAGCAGGTTGCAATGGGCTGCCCAAGCCCCATCTCATTGGCATGAGTGGTTCAAAAGATTCCGGGCTTCCCAGAGAGCAAAATACAGTGCGCAATAGCATAACATACTCGTACGATGTCCGATGCACAAGTGTACATCAAAGCTGTTAAACAGAGAGCGCTTCAATCTGTGTTTTCAGGGATGAACCAAACCAGGCCCGTCAACCAACGAATCTGCAAAGTTGTTTGCGTATGGAGCGCCAGTCATATTCTAACCCCTCCAATCCCCGAAGCACGCGAAGGTTGCGGTACAGAGGGGCTCCCCGACGAGGACCTGCACGCTCTTCTCCAAAGCTGCTTGTTGTTGCTGTAGACTGGGAAGTGACCGGGTGTTTTGGTTTTGCCTGGCGGATATTTCGGGGCTGGAGTGCTTCAAGATGCTTCAAAGGATGCGGCGAGACTCATGGATCCGAAGACCTGTCTGGTGATTTGATATGAAACGTTTCCAGGTGTTTGGGGCCCTTGGACGGCTTATGACGGCTTAAACATTCCCGGCTCTTTTCGCCACTTCGCAGCCCCCTTGTCAGCCGGAAGTTTGCCTCTGTTTCATGGCAGGTGCTTCCGGCATGTTGCTGGCTTGGTGGGGTGTTTAGGTTTGGGGTTGTCAAAGCAAGGTTGCAGGGCTTGGTAAAACGGGGTGTGGAGACTGCAGAAGAATCGAGATGGTGTTTAGGTGCCAAACTTTAAGCCCTCTTGGTCTGTTAAGTGCCGACAGGCCCCGTTGAGCTGGACGGCGGCAGTCTCAAATCTTGAACCGCTGAATCCGAGGAAAAAACCTCGGCCGAAGTGTTGCGCTTCAGCCTTGTCAACCGCATCCGCAAGAACCCATAGCAGCCCCGCTCGAAACGCGAGAACTCGAAATCAAGGCTCCTCCCCCCCCGGGCTGGCGGTGCCACGTCGTGCTGAGGCAGAAGCGGCCGAGACCATCACAATCGGGGCAACGCGTCGAATGCGTCCAATGTGTCGATTGAGTCTTGATTTGAATTGCTTCCCTAACGTTTTCGTTAACTTCCGATTCACAGGCCTTGTGTTGCAGACGCTTTTGTTGAGCTCATCCCTGCATGATCCTATCGGGCTGCCGGAGTTCAGCGTCTGAAGACAGTTTGTCGGTGCTTCACCTGAAACACATCCTTGAAGAGGGAGACGTCGCTACTGTGAATTGTTAGTTCCTGTTATCTACACGATGACCGTTTTTTACACCACGATGAACAGTATTGAACAGTAAAAAGTAGCCACGAGATGAGCTGAATTGCACTCTGAACTTACTTTGGGCTCTAGAAGGACTTATATTTGTTGCTCCTCCCTCAGAAAAAAACCCTTGCCGGGGGGAGCATCTCTCCCGTGTTGAGCACAGTCGGAGGCCGCGTAAAGAGCCCCCTAGCCTATTTTAACCTCTCAAAAGGCTCGTACCGACAGAAACCGAGACAATCCGACAGCAACAGACAGCAAGAAGCCCTGTGCGCTCCTCGTAAGTGTCCTTGAAATCCACGATCTTTTCATCTCTGAGTTCAAGCCGATTCAAGCCTCAGGCAAGAGAAGCTGCTGTCCTGGTGAGCACTGATGAGCACTACGTTGAACATCGGGTCCCGACCCCGGGAATGGGTGGGGGAGGAGTTCCCTCAAACAGGTTTCGACTTCTATATTCAGCTAGAGCTCCAAGAAAGACCATCTGTTGAATTTCTTTAGGCTTTGGAGCTTTAGAGCTTGAGAGCAACCTTCGAATCTATTCAGGCCGCCGTGGAGAAGGGTGAAGCTCAAGTTTTGAGCTCCTCGGCCGCTGCCGCACGTAGCTTGCCTCATCCCTCGGTCAAGCAAGAACGTGCTTTCTTTCGTGCTTTCTTTGCGAGATGAAAACTCCCTTTCCTTGTTCTGTCGTTGTTCTGTGCTGTGTTTTTGAAGGGCCTCCGGAAGCCTATGAGGGGCTCCCCGCCCGTTTCGACTGGCTAGACTAAACTACACTCGCAAGGGCGGCAGCATTTTTCTGCTTTTTTACGGTGCACGTTTCCTCAGTGCCGGAACTCGCTCTGAGGCAAAGATTCGGATGAGGGACTCTAGCGAACTTCGTGTACACACGCCGTGTCTACTCCTTGGGATTTTCCACAGCAGAGGCAGCAAAGGTCATCCGGAAACACCTCGGCACAGCTGGGGGAATGGGTTATATGGGTTGCACCTGCGGGGGGGGGGGGGTTGATCAGCCCCGGCAATGATTTGACCGGAGCTGATCATTATGGAAGTTAGGGGCTTGAGGGGCGGTCTCGCAGGGTCCTGGCGGTCAGCCCCGGTAATGTTTTGGTTACCGGGGCGGGCTCGATGTGAATATATGGGAGAGGTTCGCGTGCTGTCTGCTGCTTGGCATAATGCGCCTTCCGCTCAGCAAACGATGTCCCCTGTACTTTTTGAAAATCACCCTTTCTGAAAGTTCAAGCAATGTCGTCCGGACCTCCCCACATCCAAAACATTTCAAGGGTCAGGTGAAATATTTCAGGCTTGAGAGAGTGCGGGAGGGGGATGACCCCCCCTCCGCCCCCCTTAAGGGACGTAGTGATGTCCCACCGTCACCCGCGTGCGAAGCACGAGAAGCACATCCTGAGAAGTGGTTGGATGCCTATACAGCTTCCCACCATGGAGGAGCGTTAGGATGCACAGCTTCTTCTAACACGTCTGCACCTCTGAGGCTGTCGGAGCACCTTCGGCCCAAGCTCGACGTAAAAGAAGCTAGAGCTTGGCGGACAGGCGCCCGCTGGCCACCACGACCGTCTGCTGCGCAGACTGGGTTCATAGGTGGGGCCCCACCGCCGTTTGCAGGGAGAAACTGTTCCTCACCACGGTTCGTTTGTATTTTACCACCGTGTTTATATGCGCCAAGCCACTAATGCCGCTTTGGAAACAAGCCCAAGTCATGCTCTCGAAGGTCTTGGCACGAGACGTGACCGCGAGTACGAGTAACGACAGGGACGACAGGGAGCGCCGCCGTGAGGGAAGCGTGGCACCCCGACCGCCCCAAACAAGCCGGATGACGTACCGGCGGGTAGCCGCGTTCCACTGCTAGAGACTGGTAGGGCCAGCCAAAAAGACCACCCTCAATTCTCCAAGCCAGGCCCGCCCGCAGACAGCATCCGGTCCAGTGGTCAGCGCAGCTCACTTTCGCCACATCCTCCGTAAGGCGACCCCGCAAGATCGAAGACACCTCTTGGCGCAGTTGCCACAGCTGGTCCTATGGAGAAAATGGGGGTGCGGACGAAAGGATAAATGTGGCACCAGCAGCAGGTCAGCAACTTTCCGGAGAGTCGAAGCAGCGAGCTGTGGGCCTGCTAAATTAAAGCAATTCCAGAACTCTTCCAGAACATGCACGTGCGGCTTCCCAAACGTGCTGGCGATGGCCCCCTGTCGCTCACACCTCATCGAAGCGTGTCTTGCGCTGAAGCGCATCGTCAAAGTCAGAAGCAGTGGCGGTGCAGCAGTTGCTCGCACAACCACAGCCCCGCCTACTACGACAGCTCTCGGTGCCGTTTTAAGCACGGGGGGGTCGTGCAGGCGTCTTGACACGTGGCTACAAAATGCCCCCGTAATGTCGGCCTCACATCTGCTCCTCGTTTGTGGCGAGCATTACAATGTGGCAACGACCTGCCTCTGTCCAAGCCTGCAGGAGCCGACGAGTTGCCCAAGACACGCAGCCTCCGGTAGTTGAGTTGCTCAGGCTCTGAGGCGACGCAGCATGCTTTTCATCTCCAGGCAATGCCAAAAGGTGCAGGTGGAAAACGGGTCACGGCGAGCCCGTGATCAGCGGCGGAGCATGTCACCAAAACCAAAGACATGCACGAGAGCGCATCTCGTCACGAAGGTAGGAGGTCTCCACATGCCAGTTAAATGTTCGGGGCCTGAAAAACGCATGAAATCAGGGCGCTTCGCTGAAACTTGGAAGAGGCGACTAGCCTCAGCCAAATGCTCGATGCGCTTCCACCGCTGTGTGAGAACTAAGCCGCGGCGTTTCGGCATGTCTTAGGACGCTTGGCCTTGAGCACCTTAAACATCGGGGATTGGCCCCCCCCCCTCCCCGCAATATGTTTTGTTTTGCGCAGCTCTCGGAACTTGAGCTTGGAAACTTGACTTTCAGGTAGCATCGTCCTCAACGCTTTTTCCAACTTCCCAGACCGGGCATTACTCGGCTTCAAGATCATGGTGTCGCGGTGGCGTTTTATCCGGTTACTCGTAGGATTAAACGATTGTAAACGACTGTAAACCTGTAAACTATATTGCATAAATCACTACCCTGCGCCGTACTCCTGCCCATCCCCCCCCCACCCCTCCTCAAATAAGGCTGAACAAGGGCTACTCCACAGCACTTTGGGGTGGGATGGGGTAGCGTATCGTAGCGTAAAGCAAGAGGGCCAGAATTGTGAGTTAGGTCGGTCCGGTTTACTGGCCGACGCAATGTAGCTTTGCGACGCTCTCATTGTCACGGCACATACACCGCAGCACACGGTGTTCAAAACCAAGGTGATCGTGCTCTTCGTTGAGATGCTTCTCGGCTTTCAGGTCGTAGGTGCTTTCGCTCCCCTGTAAAGGAGGTCTTATTGGTCATAATTGAATTTGAAGCTGGGCAGATCGCGGGAGGTTGTTTCTGCTCCTCCTTGACATGCTCGTGGCGTCCTGGCTGGGCGTGGACTTCGCCTGCAAGCAGGACCGTCGGACCGTTGGGTCAGTTCCTCTTCGAGAGCTCGCGAACGTTCGCACACTGCTGTCCTACGCATCCTCTGAGCCGCTTGAGCGTTCTAAGCCCAAAAACTTTTGACTCCGCAGCCCCGAGAGGTGAAGGTCACGAAGCGAAACTCGGGAGTTCTTTGGCAGTCTTTTCTTTTTTTTGCACAAAGGGTCCCACTTGAGAATATGTACAGGCTTGGGGGTGGTTAAGGAATGAACAATGGGTTTGGCCTCGGGCTGTTGTGAGCTGGAAATTAGATGGTGTGCCGTTTGCCTTGTCTTGGACACTAAATACATCAGAAGGCCGCAACATCAGTCGTTTCTTGAAGGTTGGAAGGCCAATTCTGAGGCAGTGAGGAGCTCTCCTTGCTTCATATCTGCGACGGCCTGCCAGGCTAGATTTTTAGATGTCATGTGCTGTGCACGTGGACGCTGCTTTGAAGCCCTGTGAAGCTCTCACGATTGAACATCCAAGCGTAGAGGGAGACTGAGGGAGAGCAGTTCTCGCTGTCTTAGTCTTGAGCGCTGGCAGAGGCAAGATGTTGGACTTCGCTGGAAGCTTGGACGGACGGGGCTGCACTTACATGGTTGGGGGCGTCTGCCTGCTCTTCAGCACCATCGGCTTGGAGTACCTCCACAATGAGCACCTTGGATCCACACCAGGAGTCCACAATCCCCAAAAATTTCGTTCTTCGCATTGAACAATCTTAAGTGATTCTCTCGCTCCCTCGCTCGCTCTCTCTATCTCCCTCGCTCGCTCGCTCTCTCTCTCTCTCTCTCTCTCTCGCTCCCGCTCTCTCTCGCTCCCGCTCTCTCTCGCTCACGCTCTCTCTCGCTCCCGCTCTCTCTCGCTCCTGCTCTCTCTCGCTCCCGCTCTCTCTCGCTCCCGCTCTCTGTCGCTCCCGCTCTCTCTCGCTCCCGCTCTCTCTCGCTCATGCTCTCTCTCGCTCCCGCTCTCTCTCGCTCATGCTCTCTCTCGCTCCCGCTCTCTCTCGCTCCCGCTCCCGCTCTCTCTCGCTCCCGCTCTCTCTCGCTCCCGCTCCCGCTCTCTCTCTCTCTCTTTGTCTCTCTCTCTCTCTCGCTCTCTCTCGCTCTCTCTCGCTCTCTCTTTACTTCCCTCTCTCTACTTCCCTCTGTCTACTTCCCTCTCTCTACTTCCCTCTCTCTCGCGCTCTCCGTTTCTCTCTTTCGATCTCAGTCAGCGCACCTCTTCGTCGTCTTAATGCACTCCCCATCCGTTTAGACGGACGGACGTGCGCTACTCTTCATGTCTGAAGTTGCTTTTGCAGCTGGGTATTGAGGGGAAGATGCGTCCCTCACATGTTTACGGCTTATCAGTCGGAAATCAAAGCGAACTGACACCTCCCCACTCTCCATTCCTCCCTCCTCCCTCCCTCCTCCCTCCCTCCTCCCTCCCCCTCCCTCCCTCCCTCCCTCCTCCCTCCCTCCCTCCCTCCCTCCTCCCTCTCCTCCCTCCCTCCCTCCCCCCCCCTGCCTCTCTCTCTCTCTCTCTCTCTCCCTCTCTCCCTCTCTCCCCCTCTCTCCCTCCCTCTCTCTTCTCTCTCTCTCTCTCTCTCTCTCTCTCTCTCTCTCTCTCTCTTTCTCTCCCTCCTCTCTCTCTCTCTCTCTCTCTCCCTCTCTCGCTCTGTTTAGCACTTCAGAAACAAGCAGATTTAACGTCCCGACGCGACCTCCCGTTTTAGTGAAATCAGCGACCCGAGCCGACCCGACCTGCCCGTAAGTTCCATGATACTAATTACACCAGTTTAGGATCTATGCAGCCAATCTTTGAAGATTTTCAGAGCCCCGTGCGGAGAATCTGTGTAGCGTTGTTTGCAGTTTGTTGAACCTCTCTCTCAAGAAAATTGACTTCACGCAGGTGGGAGAACATGTTTTGGAACACCGTCACCAAGAAAGACGTCAGCATGGTAAGGAGAGCTCGCTTAGTTGCAGGGTTGGAGGTTTTGGGCGAGCTTTGCAGGAGCTTTGCCAGAGCTTTGCAAGGTTTTTAGCTTGTTGACCACTCATGTATGAGACGGGCCATGCTAAGCCCCGTGCAGCTCAAGACTCAGATTCTTCATTCTACAGTCTTCTCAATCTTTGCACATCTTTGCACCATCTTGGGCGCGAAACTAGTTGCAGCCAAAAAAGACCGTGGGAATTTGGAAATGGAAACACAAATAGCCAGCAGTCTAGCAATAGTCATACGACATGACATGAGCATATTAATTGAAATCATGCACGCAACAAGGCGGGCGCAAGGTCCAGCCTGCAGGGTTTAGTATCCTGGATTTGGACATGCATCTGGGCCTCTGGAGTCTGCGTTCAGCAATTGCTTGAGTCGGGAACGAGACGACAGCCGCCATGCTAGCAAGAAGGTATAAATTGCAAGCATCGCGTCAGAACAAAAGCCGTCGATTGTCGCTGGTCGAGCTTTTGTCCCCCCACGCTGCGCCTTTCCAGATATAGTTAGAGTATGTGGAATAGTCATATGTAACATAGTTGTTGTTTTAGTACTAGCATGTACTACATTGGTTACTGGTGTTGGTTTTCATATCATAGCTGTTCGTTAAAGACAGCAGTTTTCTTGTCATGGTCACAACGAGATGGTATTCACCATGCTATTTCTGTAGCTATAGGTGGATGAGGTAGGTGGCAGCAGCGCAGTCGAGACCATCGACAGCTGTCAGGACATGCGTTGTGTTTTTCGCCCTGCTGACTCTCGCTTGGTCCTTGATTACAAGCTTCCGGGCTTGCGATGTTGTGCATACCAGTACTCGCTGGCTTCGGAGGCTTCGGGTCTTGGTTTTTTCGGAGTTGCAAACATGAATGTAGTTCGTGCATCTGTTGCTGCATGGGGTGCGGCATGTGGAGTGACATTGTGTTTTCTCTGAAGGGCATGAAACGACTTCTTCTGATACGTACGGTCCGGACGCTCCTGGAGGTGGAATTTTGTCCGGCTCTACACGGGGAAGTAGGGTGTCGGTTCAGCAAGAAAGCACCTCAGGATAACAGCTGATTGTTTCAGGTCGCCAAAGTTCGAGACTTTTTTGTGGTGGTCGTTCAGCTTTGCGCGCAGGCTATGCTACCTGGATCCGCACTGCAATCGAACTGCACTGGCGGACTTGCATGACGGAGAAGCTTACAAAGATGTGGCTGGATAAGATGCCCGATGGCATTGTTAAGGTTGTATAGTTATAAGGTTAATGGGTTCCAGGGTGTATGTTGCTGCGTAACCAGACGTCTCAATTTTCTCGTGATATCTCTTAATGTTACTTTGTTACTTGTAGCGGGATGAGTTAGAGCTCCTGGCTGTGCCCAGCAGCCGAGATACAGCTGCTGAAGCATACTGCTGTCATTTAGACCTCCTCAAAGATGTGAACAACTTCAACTTCCTAAAGCTTGAGCAATTGCACTTGCAATGTTCAAAGAAAAAAGTGTGTTGACATGCTCTGTGCACCTCCAAAGGGAAACTTGATGCCACCAGGAATGCTCACTTCTTGTTGCAGCTGCGCGATGGCACGGACATCGACAATCCGGATCAGCGAATTCAGGAAGATGAGGGCTGAAGGTTCACTCTGGGGTTTAGGGCTTCTGTTGTGGTGTATACGGGATGCGAAGGATTGCTCTTCGGGGTTTGTGGACTTGGGGTTTACGGATTGTAGTGCGAGTAGTGCGACCTTAAGTGACAGGGTTTCAGTTTCAGTTCACGTTTCAGGAAGATATTGAGCACTTCACGGCGCAGACGGTCGAGCTCATCTGGGATGCACTGGACTCTGTGAGATAAATACCTGAACAGATTAAGAAGATACAGTCCAGGCACAGCCAGCAAAAGCGGAGCGTATGATGTTTTAGTTGTAACCTACCCCCTGCCTCCCACCCCCTTCCCCATCCTCCCCCCTCTCTCTTTCTTTTCTTTTCTCTCCCCTTCTCTCCCCCGCTCTCTCCTTGTCTCCTCCTCTCTCCCCTCTCTCGCCCCCCACCTTTCTATCTCGGATGACTTCCTCGCAGTGAGGTGCAGTCTTGCCGGAGCAAGCCTCCTAAGGATCACGTGAATTATTTCATCGTGTTTGCCTTCGTGGTTTTTACAATGACTCCTCCAAGCTCGCCATTCACACTGGGAGCGCACGTTCCTGGTTGGTTTTTGATCTTTCTGATTCTTGGGCAGCGAAGTCTCATGTCTTTTGATTTCAAATGTTTGGTGAGGTCTTCCACTTACCTAAAGTATATTGTAGCAACTTGGACTTAGCTTCTGCATGATTGCAGAAGACAGCCAAGGACTTGTTGGTCAATTTTCGGCTTGGCGTGCGCCCATTACCTCGGAAAACAGAAGCTTTGCCTGCCATGAGCTTACTTCAAAACCTAATGGCCAAGCTTCAAGCTTCAACATGCGAAGCCATTTTGGGACCCGTTGTCTCGACATACAGAACATAAGTGCATTGTCGCTTATCCCGTATTCTAGGCTGCCAGTTGCCCGAAGTTCGGATTAGGGTGCAAGACGGAAGTTTCAGACATGATGCCGCTTCCCAGCCCTAAGTCCGAGGATGCTGCCGCTGAGCATTCAGAGTGAGACCTGCGAAGCCAGGGTTCGGAAAGATTTATCCCACTGCAGTGAGCATGCCGAAAGCATTTCGGTATATGGGTCTGCCGGGCTGGAGCAGAGAAGGATCATGTGCTTTGGCTGAGTAGGCAGAGTTCAGAGAGTTTCGTGTTGAGGGAGTTTGAAGATGCTTTGAAGCGCTTACCCCTTGAACATCCGTGAATTTTTTTTGCGCTTTCACTTCGCCACTGGTTTGGTCAAGCGGGGGGCCCTTCCCTTTATCTTCCCTTTATGTCCATTGTGCATCCCCCTGAAGCGCGGAACCAGAAGGGACCACTTGAAGGCTTTGAAGGCTTTGAATGCTTTGAAAGCGAGTTTGAGCTTCAAGCAATTCCCTCTGCAAAGCTTTTCACGAAAGCTAGCTCCTTCGGAGCTTGCGGGAGTTCTTGTTTACCACTTTGTTGTTGGGACAAACAGCACTCAAGGGCCTGAATCTCCGATATATCAGGTTTAAGGTGCCGGAAGGGGGGGGTCCCAAACCTCTGGGGAGCGACATGCAAGGAATCTTATAAGGGTGGGGGGGCCCCCCCCCTTTGGTCCCCCCTCCCCCCTCTAGGTCCCGCATTGTTAACCATTATTTCTGGCAAATTTTGCTATCGCTGTTGCAGTGCAAGTGTCTCCTGCATGAGCTTGCGTTGTTTGATCTCCGAACTGCAGAACCGGTTCGCATGACAGCAAGCAAACGAAAGGTGTACTAGACGAGCTTGCTTTGTGAGAAGTCAGAAGATGTTTTCTATGCATGAAGTCTTTCGTACACATGAAGACTACGTACACGCATGCATCGAACCAGATCTGTCAATATGAGCTTGCATTGCACGCAGCAAGACAGTGAAGAGTATCCTGTAGGAGCTTGCCTTGCGTGATCTCCAACATTTAGACGAAGCGGTTTGCGTGATAGCAAACAAGCGACGAATGCCCTGGACGATCTTGCGTTGTGAGATTTCCTAGGATGTGTCCTATGTATGACCTGAGCTCATGTGTAGGAGAGTTTGTGCGACAGTGCCTTCTGTGCCCTAGCTTTCGTTCGCCCTGCTCTCAAGTAACTTCGCTTTCATGCCAGCAGCAGATAGTAATGTCCAAATGTTTGTCGACCGTGGATATGGTAGACTGCAAGGTGAGCCTTGAATGCTCCTAGCCCTTGGCCATATCGAACCCAGGTCATCTTTCGGACAACTGAAGCTCGTTCTGCACAACCACATGCAATTGCAAAAGCGCGTTGACATCTTCAAGGCCATGTTAGACTACGTTCAGTGGATGCTTTTGGACTGCACTTGCGCCTCCCACCGTCATGGCCCCCAGTTCTGCCAGATTGTGTTAGTGTTTAGGGTTTAGGGCAAGGGTTCCTGGTCCTGGTGTTCCGCATTGAGTTGACAGGGCCTCTGTCGGATCCCTTGCCTTCCATTCACGAAGAACTCACGACAACCCAAATGCCAATGGTCCTTCAGGAGTTCCTTTTGATTGGGGGGGGGGTGGAGGGTGCTGGGTTTTCACCTTTCTTTCTTTCTTTCCATCAAGGTCCCTAATCTACCAAAGCGCCTCAGCCACGAACAGCGAGTCCGAGACTTCAAAATGTTCAACGCACCCTGTGATCAGATTCCCGACTCTCAGTCCTCCTCTCGACCCAATTCCCCAGGCTAAGCAGAAGCTTCAAGACATGAAGGGGCATTTGGTTGGCTTTCTTTAGAGAAAGGCTCTTCCACTTCAAATGATTTTCGTATGGGCCCACCTGCCTGAAATGCCGGTTACTCAGGCTTCCCAACTTCATCTTGCTGCCCTGTCTTTTCCACCAACAAATTGATTTCGGATCCTTCATGCAGATCTCAGGCCACTCGGCAGTCACTAGAGCGCCTTCTAAAGCTCTGGGTTGAGAGATTCGGCGAGAATCCTTCCAGTATTTGCAGCTGCAATGGGGGGCTGATGGCAATTCAATATATATGGTATCAGAAGACAAGCGAGCTAGCTATTCAGCCATGTTCAGCTATGTTAAGGTTGCTTGTTCAATCTTGTTCCGGTTGAAGCTGCAAAGTTGCAAGCCATGACGCGACGCAGAACAGGTGCGAAATCCAGACCCTGCCACCCCAACATCCCCCAATTCTGTGATCCAGTGCATGTTCATTCATTTGTTGCCTCCAGACTCAAACCAAGGGGCCTCCAGCCATGTCATCAGCTGCCTCGCCTGGTTCGTTGACTCTTACGGCTGCTTGGGGCGTTTAAGGCCCCACTCCACCCCTCCCCTGTCCTAGACGTCACTACGGCATGCACGAGTTTTTTTAATCATGCTCGTTGGTTGGAACATTTGTTTCTCCGGCTTACAAACTGTGAATATTGAGCATCCTTCCCTGTCAGCGGTCTTGCTTCGTTTTCGGAATGTTTCATGAATAGCTCTCCTGCACATTCCTCCGTACATTTCCTGCAGCTATGAGGCAACAACACATGTATTTCCACGTTTGTCGCTAAAGTCGCAACTGGTTCTTGGAGAGAGCTGCCTTCATACTGCAAGGTCTCATTTGCGATTGGCGGGCATCTCTGAGCCTTGCAGCGGAGAGCATGGCACTACTTTTTGGCTGATTTTCGAAGTTTTGTGAGAAATTGTGACACTGATCGAGTTTCAGGGCGCTATCGCTAGGGCCTAATGATTGGCCTAATGAGTCTCCTAGATCATGGCACCCTGTTTTGCATCCGTCTCGGCCCAGAGGGGAGCGACAAAGAAGAAGTAGAAGCAGCAGAAGACGAGGAGGAGGAAGCGAGGGCAGAGGAAAGGGAGGAAGAGGAGAGGGGAGGCAGAAGCAAAAGCAGTAGAATTAGGAAAACGAGGTTGAAGCCAAAGGCAATGCAAAGATAGTGTGGGCATGACTGCCATTTATTTGTCGGGCACCCAGAGCACAAGGAACCGAATACTTGAGCTGGAAGATGGTATTGCTTCAGTCTGCCCGAGCGAAGCGTCGCCGTTGGTGGTTGCTCAGAGGCCGGGTTCAGCGAAAGAATGACAGGCAGATTCAGGTGTCTTGTGTAGAACGGGGTAGCAAGCTCGGCACGGGTCTTCGTGTATCCTTCTTGTATCCGTCAACTGCTCAACTGCTGCCTGTGTTGCACATCGAGCCCCCCCTTCGGCCGCCGCTAATTCTTCATATTGTACAGGACGGGTAGGAAGTAGGAAGTAATTTGCTGGAGGGGCGGGGACGCTTGTTCAGTCTAGAACCAAAAATTCATTTAAAAAAAAACTCCAAACCCCTCAGAGTGCTAAAAAAGCTGCAGAATCGAGGAAGGGCCAGGGGGGTCTTAATTAAGGTTCTATGAGAGCTTTATCTCGATTAGAATCATTTCATGTGAGTTCGCTTGCAACGAAAGCATTGCGCCCGAAGATCTGAGTACAGGTCTGTTGCCGTCCAGAACTTTCGGGGATTTTAGCGGAACATGGAAATCGCTTGAACTTCATGCAGACGAGGAGAAGACAGCGTTCCGGGCTGGATCTTGGGAGGGGAGGCGAGCGAACGTGTTTGCATATGCATTTTATATATGAGCAAAGGTCAAAACTATGGTAATTGCGGTTTTATCTTGGCAGGACATTTGCTTGCTGAAGTGTCACAAAACCCTGTAAAACGACGGGGAACACTGAAAAGCGACGCCCCTTATTTGAGTAGCCCGTAAGACAAAAACCCCTGTAAAGCGATGGGTTGCAGCAAAACCATGCAAGACCCTCAGACGGTTGCTCATACATATATATGGGTCACCGCCTATAGCGGTTCCCCTGTGTTTTTGCACATTCCCTTAAACCATCTAACCAAAATCCCTCAAACCATTAAACCATTAAACCATTAAACCATTAAACCATTAAACCATTAAACCATTATTAAATCATTAAACCATTAAACCATTAAACCATTAAACCATTAAACCATTAAACCAATGGTTTCCCCCATATGAGAATCCCCTTAACCATTAATTAAACCATTAAACCATTAAACCAATGGTCTCCCCCCCAAACCATTAAACCATTAAACCATTAAACCATACCATTAAACCATTAAACCAATCGTTTCCCGCTTCTGAAAATCCCCTAAGCCACTAAACTATTAAACCATTAAACCATTAAACCAATGGTGTCCCCCTTATGAAAATCCCCTAAACCATTAAACCATTAAACCATTAAACCAATGGTTTCCCCCATATGAGAACAGAAGGGTGCGCTGTGGGGCCTGCGTTTTTGAAACGCTCTTCGTTGAAGATTCCGTTGTTTGAGGTTGGATGGGCGAAGTTAAGTAGTTGAACTATACTAAGGTTAGATGGGCGTGGTTGACTGTCATACGTTACTGGTTAGGTAAGGTTAACTTGATTTCTTATGGTTCATTTTTATAGAGTTTTTTTGTGTAGAGGAAGGGTTTGCTTATAAGCAGTTGGCTTGCTTATAAGCATTGATTCTTTGGGGGTGGGGGGGGAGGGGGGGGGGCTCTTCGTTGAAGATTCCGTTGTTTGAGGTTGGATGGGCGAAGTTAAGTAGTTGAACTATACTAAGGTTAGATGGGCGTGGTTGACTGTCACACGTTACTGGTTAGGTAAGGTTAACTTGATTTCTTATGGTTCATTTTGAGGGGTGGGGGGGGGGGGGGGGGAGGGGGGGGCGAGGGGGGGGGGGGGGGGAGGGGGGGGGGCGGGGGGGGGGGGGGGGGGGGGGAGGGGGGGGGGGGGGGAGGGGGGGGGGGGGGCGAGGGGGGGGGGGGGGTGAGGCGCAGACCCCCCCCTCCCCCCCCCCTCCTCGCCCAGGTGCCTGGATATATAAAATCTTTAAAATGTAATTGGAACTCCATTGAAATTTTAAAGGTTTCAAGGTTTTAAAGCCTTTAAATTCCTTTAAAACCTTTAAAATTTAAATGGAAGTCCAATTAAATTTTAAAGGGCGCGGGCCCCCTTTAAAATCTTTAAAATCATGAAAATCTTCAAAATCTTTAAAATTTAATTGGACCTCCATTTAAATTTACATGGTTGTAAAGGGTTTAAAGCCTTTAAATTCCTTTAAAACCTTTAAAATTTACTTGGGGAGGCCCTCAATTAAATTTTAAAGGGGCGGGCCCCCCTTCAAAAAAATCTTTAAAATCCTTGAATTTAATTGGACCTCCATTTAAATTTAAATGGTTTTAAAGGTTTTAAAGCCTTTAAATTCCTTTATAAAATTTACTTGGGGAGGCCCTCAATTAAATTTTAAAGAGGGTGGGCCACCTTTAAAATTTATTTGGACCTCCATTTAAATATTCAAGGTTTTAAAGGTTTTGAAAGCCTTTAAATTCCTTTAAAACCTTTAAAATTTAAATGGAGGTCCAATTAAATTTTAAAGATTTTAAAGGGGGCCCGTCCCCTTTAAAATTAAATTGGGGGCCTCCCCAAATAAATTTTACAGGTTTTAAAGGAATTTAAAGGCTTTAAAACCGTTAAAACCTTTTAAATTTAAATGGAGATTTTAAAGATTTTAAAGGGGGCCCCTCCCCTTTAAAATTTAATTTTCCGGCCTCTCCAATTAAAACTTAAAGGTTTTAAAGGAAGTTAAAGGCTTTAAATTATTATCCTGTGTATGCGCGCGTGCTTGTAAATATAGAGTATCCGGGATAAAGAGTGTCATGTGCATGCACACCTGCTTTATAAACACTTGTGCCCTGCAAAAACACAAAAAAAAACACAGGCCCCACAGCGCACCGCCCTCTATGAGAATCCCCTAAACCATTAAACCATTTTCATGGCGGGCAACCAGTGGTTTAATGGTTTAATGGTTTAATGGTTTGATGGTTTAATGCTTTAATGGTTTAATGGTTTAATGGTTTAATGGTTTAATGGTTTAATGGTTTAATGGTTTAATGGTTTAATGGTTTAAGGGATATTCGTAAGGGGGAAACCATTGGTTTAATGGTTTAATGGTTTAATAGTTTAGGGGATTCTCATAAGGGGGAAACCATTGGTTTAATGGTTTAATGGTTTATTGGTTAAATGGTTTAATGGTTTAATGGTTCTCCTGCCGAGGTACCTCTACCGCATCTTTTCTGCTCCTAAAGTTCTGATTCGCAAGCAGTGTCCCCTGTATCCTTTCTGCTCCGAATATTCTGAATCGCAAGCAGTGTCTCCCGTATCTTTTCTGCTCATAAGTATACGTATACTATATGGGATTGCGCCTTAAACCCTAACTCTTAAACTCTGACTCTATAGGGTTTTAAGGTTAGGGTTTAGGTTGAATTGCCGGCTTAGGTTTCAATGCTTCAATCTTTAACCCTAAACCTGTCAACCTTAACCCTCTAGGGTTGGGGTGCCTACATCATCATCGGATTTGACAAGCTCTGCGGAAATTTCTATATGACAAGGTTATAACTTATTGCTGTGGTTATAACTATGGGTGAGGGTTTGAATTTTATACACTTATGTAAACCCACTAGAATAAGGGGAACCCCATCACGCCCCAACAAGCGAAATATCCCAAATACTTTACCTTAGCTAAAATATCTCAAGCAACCATTCCCCGATACGCAACACCTGAATTCCATCATTTAACGATACAGTATGTGTATATGTTGAATCCCAGCAAGTAGTGAAAGTGACGAGCTCTGCGGATATATGTACATGACAAGGTTATGACTTGTTGCTGCAGTTATAACTATGGTTCAGGGTTTGATTGATATACATGTAAATTCACCTATAAGAAAATGAGGGCAACCCCATCACGCCGCAATAATAAGCAAAACAAAACCTTTATCCCAAAAGCTTTACCTTACCTAAGATCGCTCAAGCAACCATCCCCCGATAAGCAAAACTTGAATTATCCTCTTTGTATATATTTTGAATCCCATGAAGTAGTTTTCAGGACATTCTCTCACAGTATTCTCGCGTCACCGGGGCGAAAGAGCCCTACAAACGTAGGCATAGCCCTGTGGGGTTTAAGGTTCGGGGATTTAAGCTCTAAGTGCTCTGGGGTTTTATGGTTCTATTGTATAGGTAATTAGTGCCAACCTTAAAACTAAGCCTTTAAACCCTATAGGGTTCAATGGTTCGACAACCTAAGGTCTGGGCATGTATACCTTCAGCACCCTTTAGGGTTAAAACCTTGGAACCTTTGGGAGCCCTGTAGGGTTTTACGGTTCTGACCCTAAACGAATCAGGGTTAAGGTCTGAATGCCCGAACTTTAAACCCTTAAGATTAAAACTCTTTGAGTTTTCGTTTTAAATGCCTAAGTCCTAAACCCCAACCCCTTACACCTTAACTCTACAGGGTTTAATGATGTTTAATGGTTCGGGCTTAGGTTGAATTGCCGGCTTAGGTTTAAATGCCTCAATCTTAAACCCTAAACCTGACAACCTTAACCCTCTAGGGTTGGGGCGCCTACATCATGATCGGATTTGACAAGCTCTGCGGAAATTTCTATATGACAAGGTTATAATTTTTTGCTGCGGTTATAGCTATGGTTCAGGGTTTGATTTATATACATGTAAATATCCTATAAGAAAATGAGGGTAACCTCATCACGCCCCAGTAAGCAAAACACAACCTCTATCCCAAAAACTCTACTTTACCTAAGATAGCTCGAGCAACCATCCCCCGATAAGCAAAACCTGAATTCTATCATGTAACCATATGGTTTGTTTATATTTTGAATCCCAGGAAGTAGTGAAAAGGACATTTGCTCACAGTATTCTCGCGTCATTGGGAAGAAAGCCCTACAAACGTAGGCATAGCCCTATGGGATTTAAGGTTTAGGGATTTAAGCTCCAAGCCCTATAGGGCTTTAAGGTTCCATCGTACAGGTATTGCCTAAACCTTAAACCCTAAGCCTTTAAACCCTGTAGGGTTGAATGGTTCAAGAAAACCTAAGGTCTGGGCATGTATACCTTCAGCACCCTTTAGGGTCAAAACCTTTGTTCCTTGTAGAGCCCTATCGGGTTTTAGGGTTCTGACCCTAAACGGTTCAGGGTTAAGGTTTAACTGCCCGAACT